TGTTGATAGCCTCCGCGTGTCGGCGGTCACTTAAGTTCCTTTTCTACTATATCCGCAGAATGTATCATTCATTTAACCACTCAAAGCTGTCAGCGTGCTTGCAGTTGGATGTGCCAGAATACTTGGCGAGTTCAGCAACTGTCGTTTCTAAACAGCTAAACCCGGACACCCCTGGGTTTGTTATCTCTTTCTTGACGAGAATCTCTCCTTGTACCTTACTGGTCTAGCATTTCGTTCTTTTGAGCTTATCTTCTGATTTGACCTTTATCTAGGTACACCTTGCGTCGATAGTTGGCTTGAGATAGCTCAGAGTTTAAGGTGCCAACTTTCTGTCCATGGTTCGAACCCAACTCCGGCACTTCGACTGCTCCTGTCTGGACTTGGGCAACCTAGTAGTACCTCATAAGCTGTTATTCCCTCGTGTGGTATTGCCACTAGGCACCAAAACGGTGTTACAACTGAACCATTGTTTGTTACTTTTGTTCACGGCGATAGGCCTAGTAGTACCTCAGAAGCTGTTATTCCCTCGTGTGGTATTGCAACTAGGCACCAAAACGGTGTTACAACTGAGCTATTGTTTGTTACTTTTGTTCACGGCGATAGTGTTGAACAGGCAAAACCATAAGGAACGCATATTCTCATAGTGAGATATGCCCGTGAACATGTTTGGAGGCCACAAGAAGGGTATTTCCAGGGTCTTGCACATTGGCGTTGTCCGCCACATAGGTGTGCTCTTTTCCAAGTTTACAGTTTCTAGTTAACAGCAACCAATCTCTATGACAAGTCTGCGCGTTTTTCCCTTATCTTTTTAACAGATGGATTTCGTTCTTTATCCGAAGATGTTGCATATGGGTTCCAGGCATTATCGCATCAATCCCACACGACACGAATTGTCCCAAAATTTACTTATTCCCGTTAGTCAACTCGATGAAAATGATTTAACGGAACACCCATGGGCAGATACTGAGGATACCCTGTCCAACGAATTCACTGAAACTATCGAACCTGATAATGAAGGCTTTCGGGTGAAGCTTCGCATACCAACATTGTTCCACGGATTCATTATCGGGCACAGACGAGAAAAACTGAAGCAACTGGAGCAGGAATTCTCGTGTCGGGTTATATTCCCCCCTCTTGGAAGCACCTCTTCAGACATTACTGTAAGAGCCGCTTCCAGAGCCAGCGTGGCTGGTGCATGTAGGCGCCTACTTTGGATTCAGACAAATGCACGAATGCGTGCAAATCCAACACATTTCATCTGCTTGCCCGCCAACTCTCCTGAACTTCAACGAAATTTCTTATCATTTCGTCAGACAGCTCTCGATTTCGCTGCGAGGGATACATGTGGGGATTTCATGGGTTTATCTATAGATGTTTTCAAATCACCTGCTTCGCTCCACTTTACGATCATCCCTCTCTTGTTAGCAGACAGCTCAGAAGTACAGCTTGCATGTGATCTGATGCACAGTTTTAGCCAGTCAGATATAGGAAGGACTGTGTTCTCCGATGGTCCCTTCCGTCTCACAATTCAGGGTTTGGAGTATATGAGCGATGATCCCGAGAAAGTCAAAGTCTTGTATGCCAAGGTAAGGGTTTCCTTAACCACAACCCCACCTGAATATATTTGGATATCACGTCAGTTTCCACCTCCATCTCTTGATCTGACTTGTTTGAAGTCCGAGTTCTCCGCATAATCTTGCTTCGACTGAGGTCCGTGACAGTATCTATAAGTCATGCTGCTTACTCTCTTAGAAGGCAGTATCTATTCGGCGCAATATGTAAAAATCAAAACGCTTAACACAACTCCGTCTGCAGGGTTACTTTCAGTGTCTGTTTACTAGCTTCATGGAGAATCTGACTTTGATTCTGCCCGTTGTCTAATATTTGTATTGTGGTGAGTGATACCAGGTCTGAATGCGGTTAACCCCTTTCACCTCTTCTGACCTGAAATGGCTCGAGCGTTGTATGTGAAATTATCTTTAGGTTCGGTAATTGTTGCTAAAATGCCATCTGTTTTTTACTCGGGTAGAAAGAATTGGTGCCGTCAGAAGTCATTCAGAGCTGTTTGCACTAATACTGTGTCACGAGTTTCAGTCATGAGGGATGACCGGAAATGGTTCTGCTACCGAATCTCCAGGTTGTAGAGACGGGCTTGCGTACTCTGTATCTGTGATTGAACGCCCTGGAGGCTTTTGGACCCCACAGTGATTATAGGTCTGGAGTGAGTCTTCCGTGGTCATATCGATGAAGTTCTAGCGGAATGGTAAAAGAGGACGGATTTACGTGACATCACTTGTTGTATTGAACTCGGGCGACAGCTTACTGTAGACATTCACAAGTCTATGGTAGTTGGCGTACAGCGGTTTAATAAGGGACAAGAACAAAGCAATCGTTCAGCTGTAACGGCCTTGTTGTGTCTAGCGGCTGTGCCACCCGAAGGAAGTGCGAGGAGCTGAGATGGTGACAGGCTGCACAAGCGTAGACAGGAGCATTTGAGATGCTTGGGTTGGGTTCGAGCCACGGACTTTCCAGTCAATCAATCCACGCCTCAACGACTGAAATTGTTTTCCTTCCTTCCACTGCCTTTTACGTCCACGCAGTTCGTTTAACTATAACAAACATCCAGAACACCAACTGCGTCACCCTCCTATTAGTGGAGGGCCTTGAATCTTTGTCCGGATACATGAAATCGTCAGCTTTTAACGGTTACACGGATGTTCAGATAGCTTTGAGTGCTAGGGGTTAGACTGAATCGTTAGCCCGCCCCCTTATTGGCAACAGGCTCCATGCGGAACGACTTGGCTGGTCGTCTACCGTGGATGAGCGTCTTGACAGGGAGCTCGAGGTAACTCAGTGATTGAAACGCGGAAATACTGAGCATAAGGTCGTGGTTCGAACGTAACCACGGCTTTTCTACTGTTCTTTTTCAGATATGGGCAACCTGGCATTATTCGATCTCGAGAGGGACTTCATGGTTTGGGTTCGTGTTATTAGCTATATCCTTCTAGTTCTAGCATGAAATTCGATGACTGGAACTGTCTCTCCGCTAGTTGGTATTCTCACCCAAATGCAGCTGTGGAAAGCACTTTACTGTCACCTGATCAACAATCAGTTGAGTATTCTGTGATTAGGTGTAGGTGGAGAAGCAGCGTACAGGACTTCCGTGCCGGCTACCTGCGTCACCTGTGACGCAGGCGTGACGTCAGCTTAACCGTCACCGGTCGAGTTTACAATGCTGCGGTGCGCTCCATATTAGTGTACAGATCAGAAACCTGGCCGGTGCGCGCCGAGGATGTCAAGACTTTCAGTGTTTGGCCATCGATGTCTTTGGAGCAGTGCCCGAGTCTGGTGGGAACAGATCAGCAATGCTGAAGTACTTAGAATGGTATTCAGAAGAAACAATTCACCCACGATAGATGAACTGATCACACTGCATAGGTTGCGCTGGCCTAGCCACGTACTCCATGTGCGACCCGACCGACTTCCTCGAAGGGTTGTTTTTAATGCGAGCCGACCGACTTCCTCGAAGGGTTGTTTTTACAAAATCACGCTAAGGGTGGAAACGAGCCACAGGAGATCAAACAATGACTTGACAGCGAAGTATAAAAACCATTACCAGCAAACTTCGCTGCGCTGGTCACTGCCGTCTTGATCGGTACCTCGATACTGGCCACATTAATACTTAGGGACGTTGTCGGCTATGACCCAGTCGCGCCCTCAGTTATGCTCGTTCATCCAGGCTATTTTCTTCAATGCATAGCTCACTTCCCAATTCCCCTTGACAGTCCTGTATTTACGCACCAATTTATGAGCTCGCCTCCAGTGCGCAGCTACTTACCCCACCTCTTCGAATCATCGGTGAACGAAACTGTGACAGCTACAACCACTCACTGTATGACAAGTACGTGGTTCTTACAGTTGATAATGATGATGATGCCTGGACTAATTGCCTGGATTCGCACTATGCTTTGCTATGATGCGTATTTCAGTGACCAATACGGCAAAATTGTACTTATGTAGGTTCTCACAGTCCCTCATCCTGGCGAATTACCAAAACCTGCTTGAAATGTATGCCAGCCGCAGTATTTGGTTTTTTAGTTAGACAAACATGGGTGTACTTTCAGGGTGTCGTGCGCCAGTGGTCTAGTTAATTGTGAACTGGGTTTCAACGTCATCCCCAGAAATAACCACACAGAACAGTACTACGCAGCAAACGCCCTTCTTAAGCAATAGTTCTCAAGAGTTACTCCAGCCCGCCGGTGCTACCTGTCCCACCTTGTGGTGGTCGGGCTTGAGTGTTGTCTTGTTCTCTCCGGCTAAAGTGGCTGGATCTTCGTCCCTCAGGCCATGCCAGCAATGCCGAAAGGGGGCAACTAAACAGTGAGCAGCCCACATACTGCAGGTAATCGAAGTACGAAGCGCTCGTGGAGTAATGTGAGTGTGGAGGCAGGCGATCATCATGTCCACACGTATGGAAACGGCTATTTTGCCTTCCCCTGCAGACTTGCAGCATACTGTAAGGTGAGCAAGCGAAAACGGGCTGCTGCTGATATAAGTGTGGAGGCAGGCGGTCATCATGTCCACACGTGTGGAAACGGCTATGTTGCCTTCCCCTGAAGACTTGCAGCATACTGTAAGGCGAGCAAGCGAAAACGGGCTGCTGCTGATATCCCCCATCCTTTTCCAGTAATAGCCACTCACTCAGTGTTCCATTTAATGATCACTCTTCTGTATATACCAGCCTCAACTATGCCAGCCTTTCATCCAGTGAAGCGACCAATGAAATGCGGACGCACAGTCTTCGCTTCGCATCCGCTTTCTCAACCTCGATCCCCTGTTTTCATGGAAGCCCTTATCGTACGAACTCAAGTAATCTGGCCAGCAGACAGCTTCAGCGCGCACTCCAGACAGTTTGTCAATAGGCGTTTGCTGCGTTTTCGTAAATCGGATGCTAGTTTCAATCATGGTAGTCGGGGTTACAGCGCCTTCGATATCTAGACGCTATCACTTAGACACTTCATACGATGCTGGGGGCGGTACCAGCATCGACACAATCCTCAGCTCCCGAACTTAGGCTTACCCAGTTGATCGGATGCGCATCACCTGCTGTCTTTGTGTCGTTTTTAACTACGAGCACGTACTAGCAGAAATAGTAATAAGCACTCCCTGTTTGTTGTTTCTGCATAAACATCAAAGACTGTAGCTCTGATTTGTCAAAAGATACCTTTTAAAAACCTAATTACTCCTCTGTTTAGCACCAGTTCATAAGTAGTCCTACTCACTGTAGATCTCACTGCACGAATAGAACAGATCAACTCGTCAGAGGGGCAACGTTCTGGCCTGTTTAATTCATACTCATACCTAATGATGCTATTGCCGTTTCCGTACTTCAAAGGTCACACGTAAAATGGTTGTTTTATGTGGATCAGTCATGCAACCTCTAGGAAACATGAATTGAGCTACCATCAAGAGGTGACAGTCTGAATGGACGTACACGTAAATAAGATGGTAGGCGCAGACGTTCAGACCTATTTCTGTTGTTTTGATTTCGCCATTCTTCAGCCAGGTGTGACTTGTCTGGTAAGAAAATCACGAAAGTTGTACTTGGTGTACACTGTTCTTCAGCTGTTTTTTCGTCCCCACCTTGTGTTGTATTCCCGTTTATCATCGTTTACCATCTAGACCCTGTGCATTCCATGTTATCGAAAGCTGCGCATTCGATGTAGGACTGGTTCTTTGTGGAAATGACTAGTAGTCCGGTATTAAGGCTGCCTAACCCACCACGACAACTCATCCTTTTTTCCTTCCTTTCTGGTTCACAGATTGCTCCGTCAGCGGACAGAGACCGCTTGCAACGTATGTCAAACGTTTATCATGTTCACCATCTAGACCCTGTGCATTCCATGTTATCGAAAGCTGCGCATTCGATGTAGGACTGGTTCTTTGTGGAAATGACTAGTAGTCCGGTATTAAGGCTGCCTAACCCACCACGACAACTCATCCTTTTTTTCCTTCCTTTCTGGTTCACAGATTGCTCCGTCAGCGGACAGAGACCGCTTGCAACGTATGTCAAATGGCCTTACCAAATTATTTCAGGAGCACAATTTACTGGGAGGAAAACTCCACCGTCCAGATGGGGACGTTCTACTCCACTTGACACTTCTTTATGCTTCCGACTCCTCTGCTTCCCAAAGCTCATCTTCACCATTCAACGTCACTGGACTACTTCGCGAATTGGGGAATTTTACTTTTGCTGAGGATCATTGTTTCGATACTCTCCACTTATGTTTAATGGGTAGTCAAACTGGGGATGAGTTCTACTCCTCGTGCTGCCAGCTAAATTTCAGTGACCCATCTAATCCTATACTTACCTTGTCATAAAAGTGTTGCGGTCCTCTATTCCTTTTTTGAATTCCTATTAATATTACTGCAACTGCCATGGTCGCACTTGCAATACCAGCGTATATACCGAAGTACTATCTCTTTTGTGGAGCTCCTTTTTTCTCATCGATCCATTTTTGAAATGCAAGCTTGAGTTCTGTTACCGTGATTTTCACACCTATCGTCTTTCCGAACCGCATTCATCTTCTGGTAAACCACAAGCGGTCAAAAGGCCGACTGTTTCCTCATCTTTCATTTTCAACAACAACCGAGATTGGCGTTGCATATTACTTCCAGACACGCGTAATGTAAAAAGGCTGCCAACAGCATACGGTTTTGAAATATTATTCGACGTGCAATACAGAGTAATCGTCTTGTTGCCCAATCTTTCTATAATTCCGATGCGCCGCAGTCAGCCGGGTTCGTCAGAGTAATCACTCCAACGCCTCCATAACAATGACTATTGTCCACAGGGATCGCAAACACAAGCCAGAGTAGCACAGAGGTTGAGTGGAAGTTGTCGTTCACTCACCCTCTTCATCAGGATTTTCAGCATTTGAGTTACGGTCTCCTGCTGCCCTTGAGTTAGGTACTGCGGGTAAAACGTAAAAATGGAAAAGCGAATGTGAAGCTGTTACCGATTGGTTATTAAGGCTGAAAATTAGGGTAGACTGACTTGTTTGGCATTGCGAGCTCTGTCAGTGGTGCAGCATGTCCTATCAAAAGGTGTCTCCAGTCCTCAGCCAATCGAACGAAATATGCTAACCTGGTATTTGTGCACTCAGCCCGTGTCCTATCAAAAGGTGTCTCCAGTCCCCGGTGATTCTCCAGTCCTCAGCCAATCGAACGAAATGTGCTAACCTGGTATTTGTGCACTCAGCCCGTTTGTAACTCGGGAGCTCTATTTCCGGCAGACTGTCATGCGTTCTAATACCAGCTAGTCCGGGACTTCTTTGACAACGTTGCTGTTGTTTTCTTGTTCCGTTCCTGGAGAGTTTGGCCTGTCTGAACCACGTTAAAGTGTTTAGTTTTGCTGAGTTTGAGTTTATCTCGTCGCCCTTGCACATGTGTGTACCGTTCACTCAATCAGTCAGCTTGACGGATGCTAGCAGGCGAGGAGGCCATCGTAGAAACCTAAGAGCTTTTAAGTCCCTATTCCATATCATGGTAAACGACTGGTTGACAGCCTGACAACTTTCCAAGGATGACGCGACAAGAGTTTGTTCGGGGTGTGCAGTGTAATTTGCATCATCAGCTGCAAACCGTGTATATATTGTAAGGTAACTATAGCTGTCACAGTTTCATCCGCAGGCGGAGAAACAGAGGATGGATGGCCACGCATTGTTGGTAGAGCACTTTGCCCTAGCGAGATAGGGGGAGGAAGCTATGGATTGAAGGCTACAGCTTGGATGAATGCGCATCGTTGAGTGTCTGTGAATGTCACTGGCCATTGTTTTGTTCCTTCTCGGGGTCCCCATTCAGTTAGATGCCAATGAACCGCGCTGATAATGTTTTTCGTACTTCCATGTCAAGCCATTCCTTTGGCTCTTTTCCACTCCCCCCGTGGCCGTACGAAAAGATTCCTTCGAGGGGATCGGTTGACTGGAACTCCTAACCAAGCCGGCGTAACCTATAGAGCAACATAGCGAGCAAGTTATTTCCCCTGAAGACCACTCGACTTACCTCAGCATTACTGGTCCGGTTTTCCTCATCATACGGGGTTAAACGCCGAAAAGTGTCAATGTCATAGCGTCCATGTTTCTTAACTATATAGGAATATGGTGCGCACCTCATTGTTGTAAACTCAATAGACTAGTTGGGGCTACGTCCACGCCGCAGATGACGTCGGGTGCCCGTACAAAAGATTCCTTCGAGGGGGTCGGTTGACTGGAACTCCTAACCAAGCCGGCGTAACCTATAGAGCAACATAGCGAGCAAGTTATTTCCCCTGAAGACCACTCGACTTACCTCAGCATTACTGGTCCGGTTTTCCTCATCATACGGGGTTTAAACGCCGAAAAGTGTCAATGTCATAGCGTTCATGTTTCTTAACTATATAGGAATATGGTGCGCACCTCATTGTTGTAAACTCAATAGACTAGTTGGGGCTACGTCCACGCCGCAGATGACGTCGGTTCTCTTCTGACTTCAGCCACTCGTTATCTCATCTTCAGTACCTCGACCGGTATTCGTACGGCTTTCGGTGCGGACAGTGATATTGACATCATCCAGCATTTCGCTACTCACGAGGAGTCTAGGCACGACAGGCCGCGGTTTCTGAAGCAGAACCCTGAAGGTGCAAACAACATTCCACACCAGTCGGCAAAAACTAATCTGTACTAAAACCAGTGCTACTAATAACAATGTGAGTAGGTACTTTACATCAATGGCTGTGGTACCAAAAGGGGTTCGGTGCCCTAGGATGTCCTTCCAAAATATTGTGGGGGTGGCATCATTCATGAAATTGAACAGGAAAGAGAGGATAGAATGTTCTCACCCCACTCCACTCGAGATGTTGGAAGGAAATAAATGCTGACCTTACGCGTCAAATTTTCTTTAAATGCAATGGTTTTCCGACTTCGATGACCGAACCTTTATTTCCAGTCCCCCTACGTAGTTAATCAAAGTAGATAGCTCCGTAAAACCATTTTGTCAGGAGGCACACTGTCCCATGAGATCAATGGACACGGTTATAGGTGTTCTACGACACATGCGGTCTTGTAATAAGTGAGAGTGGTTTTTCCTGCATAGCTACAACCTCCGCGAAACCCGTCCTATTCTTCTCACACTACTTCCTTAGACAACTGGCTGAAAAATTAGATACACGCGTTTTTCGCCACTTTGTTTCCTACCGGTACATGCTATTCTCTACAGATCTTATCTGAGCACTTTTGGTGGATGAGGAGAGTTAATTCGTCTCATAGTTGAGGGTCTCCTTCCTTTCACGAGATCTTACAGAAAACCTCTCAGTGCTTTTACGATTAGCCTACAACCAGCATGAAAATGAGTTGGATCTAAGTCATCTAGGTAAAGTGCTTTGTTGTGTCTCAGGACTGACGCCTCATTTTCTGTAAAAGTACCTAACAAGAGAGAATACGCCTCCTCAGTAAGGCTAGATGTATTTGTTGACTTAACGGGTCAGTTACGAGTGTAACTCTCTAGGCGATGTTAAATACCAGAGCTTGCTGTACCCGATTCCACCATCGTAATTGGTTTTAACATTTTCCCCTTCCTTATGAAACTGTTTCCCTACACGCTGTCCTCCGTATTCAGCGAAGAACGACCGACGATAGTTCGCAAGCTACTTCCTTGCTTTACTGAACAGAACGACCAAAGTGGTTTTCATCAGCAAGGGGCAGACCATGCAGGATACTTAAATGGTTTCAAATACAAGTGGGTTAATAAAGTGTTCAGCTCGGCCGTCCTTCCGCGATTGGTTCATTTTCAATAGTTTCATTTCGAAGTTGAAATTGGTTACTTTGCAGTGCGCTTTCTCTAACAACCGATTTGGTTTTCTCAATTCCTCAATATGTTCGCTCAGCCATGGTTGCCTTTACGGAGTCTTCCTTTTCTCGGAGATCACTCTGTACGCAGTGCATTTCTACCGTATTAGCTTGCCTAAGCAGCCCTGTTTAGAGCGGCTATTTTACCCATATTGGCACGAGCTGCACACGCAGTGACCGATTAAACAACTGGCTGAAGTTGATTGGCATCACTATCGTTTCACAATGAGGACTGAAGAAAATAGGCATATATGAAATGGCTTTATCATCAGATCACAGTTCACTACCTTCTTGTCAGCCAGAGCCACTGAGCTAATCCACTATGCCAAAACTAGCGAGAAACTGCTCTTCAATGGTATGCAATCGGAAACAAACAATTTGAAGTGAGAATGAAAGTGATTTGAACGGGTATTTTTTATCTGCAAGAAAGGTGGGCCGTCAGGTATCCATCGATTTTATGGTTTCCCTATTCCTGCATTGCTATGTACTTTACCGAAACATGAGCTGATATCAGACCCGGATCATCCTAGGATTGCGGACAAATGGAATAGAGTAGGCCAACAAGTGAAGTAACAAAACCGAAGGCTCAAAACCTTGTAGTCGCGTCGGTGAGAACGTAGGGCATGCCAATTGAGTACGTCCCAGAAATAAACCTAAGAACTCTACAAAGTCTATGTGGACTTAGCTTAGAACAAGCAGGTGCCCAATCACAGTATATGACCACACAAAGAGATGTATTTATACCTTGGTCAAGAAACCTACAGACGATCGTGCTAACCGGATCCTTCTCCTGGGCGAATGAATTTTTGTAGACTACAAACTACCGAGAGGATTCAGTGGTTGGAGCGCGAATTTACTGACACCGGGAGGATTCAGTGGTTGGAGCGCGAATTTATTGACTGGAAAGTCCGTTGTTCGATCTCTGTCTCTCGACATCTCCTATCTAAGCTTGGGCAACCCGGTAGTATCCCAGCCCTCGGGCTTCCTTCTGGTGGCGTCGCAGTTAGGTGCCGAAAAGGTGCAAAAGCTACACGAGTAGTCTGAATCACGGATCTCACTTGAACTCCGATCACTGAAAGGGCTAGCGAAATAACCATTCACAACATATATTAGCGGCTTATTCGGGCGCTCTGAATTCATTTATGAGAGGACGGCATTTTGTGGGGATTTTTTATTTTAGGAGAATCTGGGCGTGTTTAGCGATCTTGATACTGTCGGAAACACGTGCTGAAAATTCCTTCCCTTTACCGAGGTTCAGTGACTTGTTTTTCATCAAACTTTGTGATGACTGGATCACAGCTTACATCCGTATTCACTGTTAAGTTTATTGAGTGCCAGAATGGCCTTGGTGAATGGGTGGCAATAGACTTCTGCCCGAAGAATGTAGCTGAAATACCTTTCCGTTCACTTGGAGAGTAAATTAGTGACAGGTTGTCATGTATCGAACTATTTATTAGGGCGTCCACTAGGCTTTACAATTTAGATCCCAAATTACATAACAGTGGCAAGTGGATCACGCTAAAAAGACACTGGACGCCTTTGGGTGGACTACGTGCCTTGAAGTTTATCACTGTTTGGGTAATAGCTCTCTAGCACCAGATGAATTCTTTTGAATTCAAGGGAGATTAGGTCAAACAGGTTCCTTATTCTCTGGGTGACGCGTGGGTGCAGCTCATTGATTAATACTTGGTGTGTTGACCTAGGAACGCTGCAGTCATCTATTCGTTGTTTTAGTTGCGTAGGTATCAGGATTGTCTATCTACCTGTTGTTTGTATTCGTCAATATATTGGCTAATGAATACAAGAGGCGGATGATAAACCAAAACACTCACTAAATCATAATACTTATGGGATGGGATTCATTTGGAACTACACAGAAATCTAGTCGCTGTGAAGGTCAGTGGAGTGGCCCCATGTATTTGGATTTTCTGTTGGAGTTGCAAACTTCCACAGAAATGGTCTTCATACTGGGTGATCGCTCTAGAGATGACCTACCGGAATACAACTAATTGCAGTTAACGCACGCGGATCTCATGCACAATTTTGTAAAATCGATGCGGGGGAAAGGAAATTTACTCAGACTTTATTTTACTTTTGTTGCTAAAAAAAATTCATCTCTGGCAAAACGACTGAGTCTGGCGGCTGACGCGATGCTCACCTGCTATCAGCTTGCCTACTGACAGGTCCCTGGACGACCATCCTCGACTTCGTTTCGTCCCGCTCGACTAGAAAACGACAGAAGCGAACTTACTGATCGACTTGTCCACGGGGCGATTTATGGATCTTAACCTTCTGAGGACAGATGCAAGTAGTCCGTTCTATCCGAATGCATTTGAATGTGTGTATGGCTTACTGTGAAACGTCGATGCACTCAAGGCTCCAGCAGATTGACGCATGTATCGAAGCACCATCAACAGGTGAGGAGATGAATAGTGCAGCATAAATGATGGGGATCCGACCACATTACTCGAAATGGTGGCCGTAAGCATAGTTTTTCGGATTCGTCTAGAGCTAAAAGTAATGCCGATAGAGTGCGCACTCCGTTAAATTCATTCATACAGTTGGTCGACGAAAATATGTTGTGTTATGATGTCAGCGACACATTAAGATTCCTAGTAGATGAAGCAGTGGATTTCGTCAAACAACGATATGTGCAAAGGCCGAGATAAGAAAGACTGGGGGCCTAAACCACTGACCTGAAGGCCCGCAGCTAAAACCCAACCCTGCCTTTTTGACTGCTTCTGTTCAAACTTGAGCAACCTCATACTATCTGAGCTATTGTGCTTCATTCGTGTTACACGGATGCTAAGCAGCAGCTGAACATCCAGTATTTGTTGAAAGTGTGAGGAGATCTGGGTATATCTTAATCGAGGTTTTCTTCCTATAAGTGAACTCGGCTTATGCCGAAAAATCAACGTTCCATCCATATTTGGAGTCACCATATCTGTTCAAACTTGAGCAACCTCATAGTATCTGAGCTATTGTGCTTCATTCGAGTTACACGGATGCTAAGCAGCAAACGAGTTTCACAGCTGAACGTCCAGTATTTGTTGAAAGTGTGAGGAGATCTGGGTATATCTCAATCGAGGTTTTCTTCCTATAAGTGAACTCGGCTTATGCCGAAAAATCAATGTTCCATCCTTATTTGGAGTCACCATCACTATGTATATAATGTAACTTCACAGTTTCGAACCCGTGACCTTCCTGCTAGTAGTCTGGACACTGAACACTTCGGCTATGAGCAGCTGATCAGCAGAGTGACAGAGAATAGACGGATAAATTCTTTGTCCGACTCAGGTTCGCTGTAATCTAAAATGTCATAGTCCAACTTATTTGTCTCCAGTCGATGGTCAGTCCTAATTTCACGTAAAGTTTAAAACCGGAACAGTGGACTAATAGCCTTCCTACGGTCATTCAGCTAGTTACTCAACTATGAACAGTTCACCAATGTGCAGAGTTGCCCGCTGCGCTGGTTTCGTCGACCGAGAATGGGTAGATTGAGGGAACGGCAGCCACGCATGCAGGATGTTGAATGGGCGTTGACCGTCGGCTAATACTCTATGAGTGAAGTTAGTAAACGAGTCAGGACGTCTGCTGACGACACGGCACACTATGATTGCCCTTAAGATTTCACTGTGCTTGACGACCTGTTCCAATGACCTAACTGTCAGGTAGCCAACCCGCTCCAAAAGGCCGAGAATTGTGATCGACAGAGAACAAGGCCACCTAGAATGAACTTCCGCAAAAACGTTTCGAACTTGAGACGAACATCATCATCATCTTCATTGCCAGCTGTAAAAACCGCGTACTCGTCGTACAGCGGTTGTAGCTGCCGCAGTTTCGTTCACCGATGATATGTTGGGGGAAGGGGTAGGTAGCTGCGCATTGCCGGCGGGAGCTTATAAATTGGTGCATAAATCCAGCACTGTCAGTGGGCTGTCAAGTGAGGGGTGGGGGTTGGAAAAAGGGCTATGCATTGAAGGCAATAGCTTGGATGCACGAGCGCCGTTGAGGGCGCGACTGTGCCACATCTGACAATGTCTCTAGTCATTGATGTGGCCCGTTTCAGGGCCCCCATCCAGGAAGACGGCAGTGACCAGCGCAGCTGAGTTTGCTGGTAATGACTTTCATACTTCGCTGCCAAGTCATTGTTTGACCGCATCTGGCTCTCTCCCACCCTTCACGTGAGACGGCCATCTGAAGCTATTGGCTAGATTGGCACCGATTTCACTCACATCAGTGAATCTCGGAAGAACATGGCCAACAAATTAAACACTGAATCTCAACTAACTTTTTGCAGACCTCGCATCTTGAATGCCCACCCAACAGAAACAAGAGGTCACCCGCGTGTAACACATTCATTTGGAAAACATTATAAAAGACAGATGGAGTTTTGATATACTAGAGTATCCCGTTCCCATCAAATTCGTTCACTACAAACTCTATGTACATGCATTGAGATAAAGAAGAAGTTGGTCTACTTCGCAATGGACGTCTCAGTCAATCCGCCCTCATCTCAGCTGGTTGATCGGTTATCCGCCGTGATCCACCCATCACCCCACATTCTGCTTCCCACCACCTGAATTTCTTCGGACCTCGAATGACTGTCCGTAGCAATCATCTCAACGCACCTCTTGTCAGATTCATTGCTTGGGGTTTGGCCGACGCCACGATACACTTTCCTCCCAAATCCTTGTCTGGTCGACTCTACGCGAACATCTGCTGATTCACGGTTGCCAAGCTGATCACCACAAAAGTACCACTCTTGCTATATCTCTGGTGCGACGGTCTTTTAGCAAGCTGGTGACCTATAAAAGAATTCACAGAACGATCGTTTACATCTTCGTCAATACAACTTTTACCAGAAGCTTCCAGTCCGTTTCACAGCATGACAGTGTGGCATCTTTTTGCCCATTTTACCGTTACTGTTGTGAAGAACGTTATTACAAACTGACACCAAAAATACACTTTCCCAAATGTCGTCTGTCTCACATGCCTTCGTTTTTCCAAATTACCCCGTTTTGATGTCGAGTGCACTTTCAAGCCGTTTCCTTCTACCGAAATTCGAAATTTGGCGATCCATTGGCAGACCGTACCTAACATAAGAATGCTACATGCATGTAATGCCTTCGATAACAGCCAGTTTAAACTCTTCTGACCAGCTATATTTCCGTTGAGAAAAAGTTTCATTGAGCTTCCCACCAAGAATTCCATCGCTAATCAGTGTTTCGCTTGTCGAGGGTCGATTGGCCTGTCTATCCCACCTTCCCATGTTAATCGGATGCGCCATGAGCCCGTGATCACCTGACTCCGTTCTACCGGTATGATGCCGTTCCAAGGGCAACATGACCGTCCATGATCTGCAACCGTCTGTCACAACCACAAACCTGTAAGACAGTGACTTCTGTCGCTTCGCGTGCACTGATTCGTACGCAAGAGGCAGGTGCTTACGTGAGCACATTCGTATGAAAATGTGACTTACGGATTGGTTGTTCGAAAAATGGGGAACCGCTCATTTTTTATGATGCGATGGTGCCTCAGTGGGCTAACCTCTGGGTTTTTAGTGGCTTGCGTTTACATTATAATGAGCTCTTCATTTAGAAGCTTTTCGGTGAAAAGCCTTGTATCCAATTCCGTATTCCTGACACACCAGCCATTCTAACAGTCTAAGTCAGCTGACCAGTCGGAGCATGTCACGTGACTTCATGTTTCATCAAAATAGATTGATTGGGTTTATTTTAAATTGGAAGCGGAAAACTTGCTGCTGTTCTCGTCTTAAAGAAGTCCTACTACCATCTACAACAAACCAAGTGGCGTTCAGGAACACAGCATGTACTGTGCTGACTCAAAAACGCTAAATGAACTAAAAATATCACCAGAGACCTACCCATGTGTTCCAGAAATGGTCTACGCAGCAGACAATGGTTTGCCTACAGGGTTGTCCACAGTCGGGTACCGAAGCAACAGATATACACCGAAAGAGGCAAAAGAATTATTGGAACAGCGCTATGCCCAGAGTGACCAGAGTCTGAATCTATCTCAACGAATTCGGAACGACTGCAACGACCTACTGTTAGAAACAGATGCACTTTCGAAAAAGAACACCAACAATCTTACACTCCGCTTAAAGGAGCGTTTGCACGATACAAACTTCTGGAAAACAGAACTGGAGAGGGAAATAGATGATATGATAAGAGTGACCGATAAGCTGTTACAGAGAAAAAGAGAGCTAGAAAATGCGTTACTGGTTGTAGAACAAGCCATCCATGTCTGTACGGACAACTTAAATGCACGTAGACGGCATTATGGAGAGGATCTTCAGCAAGATGATGTTGAACTCCAACTAATTAAGGTAAAACGATTAAGAAGTTTTTTTGGGGGGCTCTGCTGTGTATGGCCGCTCTTCTTTTACAAGCCTATCGAACCTCATAGCACTGGTGTGGATCACCCAACTAGTATCGAATAACTGCACCGTCATAATTAGATTTATCATGACAATGTTGAGCTGATTCAACTACCTTGACAACGACCATTTTATCTTTGACGATGAACGAATGTCATATGCTGTGTAGCATATAGTGCATAGCAGGTGAATTGATCTTTTGCCGCCTTTTATAGTTTTTTATGGTTTTGATCAACTGCTTTTCGCGTTCACATTACTCCCGTGCAAACAGTCTCCTCCTATCCTGGCGTCTTGGTCAAAGCTATCGCTTGGACGTTAACACAATCGCCTCTGCAGACGTGATAATTCAATTGCGTCCAGCTTGAGCTAGTAGAGTAGTGTCAGTACGCCTGCCTCCCATGTCAGACGCCCAGAGTTTAAACCTAGGCACGGCCAAAGATGCACGCTGCTGATGCGCTTTTACAAGAGTGAAACTAGAATCCAGTGCTTTCGTCCCTTGACATGGACTCACCAGAACAGCTGCGTCAGGTTAGGAGGAAGACTCTTCATACGAGAGTAATGTGAGCTCGATGTCAGCAGATCCCGCAACCACCTGGACACCTTTTTTCTACTCTAGTACACCTAAAGCAAGTGGTACAGACGTTCCACTAATACATGGTGGGACTGCCAATTTTCACACCCTTTTATCCTATTGTTAACAAAGTGGTAACAGGTTCTCAGTTGTTGGCTAAAATTCATAGAAGCCCAGCGGTAATACCATAAAATGCCATGAGTGTATGAAAAGTCGGGACCGCATGCGTAGGCTGAAGACGTAATGTTCTAACTGTGGCCTCATAGTAACTCACATCAACACAGTGCTCTCTTGGAGAAACCTTTCAAGAGAGGATACTTCCATGGAAGAGTTGGCTTTGAAGACAGAATTATTCAACTCCAGTTTATTCCAGAAGAATCAAAACCCTGTAGCTCAAAAAGAAACATTCTAGTTTTGAATAGCCTACTCATTCTCAAGAAAAATACCAGCATGAAACTGTCGTATTCCACTGAACACGATAAATCGGTCGATTATCTTTTCAAGGAGTGGACACACCTGATGCAGTAAACTCTCTAGCTGGACTACACATAGCAACAGTTTAGCCTTAGATTCGCACACGGCACCATTCTTTGGAATGGTACACATATGAGATACTAAAGCAAAGACGGCAGATAGGTAAGACGAAGCTATGTGCTGTGCCTCAATGTGTACCTTTCATCCGCTGTAAGTTACTCAGCTGGCACAAATATTCACTATCAAATCAATGACATTTTTCATGACTGTATTCTATGCCATGCTTTTGGAGGATGCTCACTGGCAGGAACATACTTTGCTGAATTTGGCTCCCTACGTGTCACTCATGCAGAAAATCTTGCTAACACTGTCCCACGAACCTGAGTGACATGACTGTCAATTTTACCAAATCAGTAACGTTACGCAGTAAATTTGAGAGGGAGCTGGACGTCCAATTTTACACTTTGTTCTTTCATCATCGTTGTGGCTCTTTCTATTGGGGGAATGAATCCCTGCTCCACACTGTCCTGATCACAAAGACAGTATTCCGTGTTGTGTGTATGGTCCCTTTTCGAGAGGATTATCAGTGTTAATATGAAGCACTAGTTCAGAAAAGTCGGGTAGAAAATAATGTCCTATATGAAAGGGAAATAAGTAAGCATGAAGCGAAGTAAGCTGCATTGATCAAGAAACAGCAGAATATCCAATGTTCTGAAGGCGTCAGAGCTGAAAACTGTATTTGCTCTTCAGGAAGACCACGATACTTGCAACTTTTCGGCTTTTTTGAACCAGCTAGGAAAACCTGTCATCTATCTATCACCAGCTATCGACCGCCAGTACCAAAAACTTGATCCGTCATATCGAGGGTGTGCTTTGAAAGAGTCAAAGATCGCATATGGAAGAGAAAGTCCAATGAAAATTGTGCGAATTACAGGTCCTTGCTGATAACAGCCAATACACTAACCTGCTTCACTGTGTCAAACAGGAAATAGGGAGGAGTAAGATACGTATTTCTAACCGGTGTGTCATGCCCAGTGGCTTCACACACAACCAGTTCGTCATAACTTCACACTTCCTCCAACCACACTCCGACATGCCAACCGTCACCTAGAACCCAGCTGAATCTCTCATTTATGATGTTTTCAACATGTTTTTCAGCATGAAACTGTCGAATACTATTGGCCAACTCATGTTTAACTCGGCATCATATTTGGGATATCGCGATATATATTTTACAAACCTAATAACCACAAGGTTTTTGAAAACTCTTCGACAGTCGACGACTGGTTTCGCCCTTCTTGGGGCTCACCAGGTAGGCGCGGGTCCGAGTTTCCGTAAGCCTTAGGTTCTGCTTGAACCCAAATTACTTGGGTGGTGTATTACGCCTATACAATGTATCGCAATATCTCGAATATCACGCCAAGTGAAACATGACGTCCCCCGGTGCAACACATTCAGTGGGTTAATGGCATCATAAACGAGAGACTCAGCCACGTTTCAGGTGAGTCTCCCGTCAAAACCAAATCGGTATGCAAATGAGTGGATTTCGTTAATTTCGTGCAATTTGGGTTCAAGTAGAACATAAGGCTGACTGAAACCCAATCACAGCGCCTACCTGATGTGTCACAAGAAGGACGAAACTGATCGTGGACTGTCGAAGAGTTTCCAGTAACCTTTTGAGAAGCGCATTACGTCTAATCAAGAACCTTGCAAGGTCTTTTCATATATGCAAGACAACTACACAAGAAGCAGAAGCATCTACAAAATTTCTTATTCAAACGAAACCTCAGTCTTCCAGGGCTGAATGTCCGAAATGATTCGGCGCAACCGTTTCATATCATGTTGTGTAGTCTTTTTCCGGTTGTTTTCCTCTGTGACCAAGCTTTTGTAAACAAACACCATGATCTTGGCAATTCAAATAAGCACGATATGACCGCATCATTTTTCAGGAACTCGACATCCTGAACAAATCAGCCCAATTGTACAAACGCGCTATTGAACAGTGCGAATATCAAATTAAGTAAGTAATCTAGCACCAAATTTTCATTATCACCAACACTAACTGGCTTTTTCTGCTGTATTCAGAACCATTGTAAAGTTCATTCTCTACATCCGAAATGAATGCAAGTCTTGCAGAGATTTCTGATCTCTGTAGCTATCCGCAGTAAAATGGTTCCAGCATGATGGCGTTCGATTTCGTAGAACTTTCTAAACGTGTTTCTAGTGCTCATCTGTCTGAATAGCCAACAGGAATCGCCACCTGCGGAGAGGCTGGTTTCAGTTGACTGGTTTTCTTAAAACTCCACCACTTCGTTAGATACTGTAGCTTTGGTTCGCTTGGTTTTCGCTACCCCTTTCCTGTATTGGTTTGTTTCTTATTCTATACATGACTTTTTGCAACTGAATAGGCTGGGTTTTGTGGCCGTGTTCGACATAAGTGCTAAAAAATAAATTTGTTGGGGACGGCTATATTATTGACCACATCTCTCCGCGTCTCCTTGGTTCAGTCCTCGCATTAGATAATACCAAATGCACACTTAATCAGTGATCTCTTACGGATGTTGTCCGATAATACCTAGGCTCACTTTAGAGTATTAGGAGTAACAATGATAATAATGATAATTAAGTGGTAGTTGAACAGACAGCTAATTTGTTCACCGAGTTTGGTAACTGATCAGACGAGCTCAACAACTACCCATCAACTAACAATGAATGCAGGTGAGCTCGAGATAGCTCAGTGGTTAAGTCACGAACTCACTGACTGGATGGTCCGTGGTCCGAGCCCAACCACTGTACCACAACTGCTCTTGTCTAGGCTTGAGCAACTTGACAGTATCACATCCTCTTACTTCCTTCGGGTGGCATGACAGCTAGGCACCGAAAGGGTGTTACAGCTGGTCGGTTATTATTATTACGAGTATTCCACCGCATTATTCAGTAAACTCCGTAAAAAATGGACCAATCATAAAAGCAAGTTGAAATATCCTTAGCACACTACTCACAAGGTTGCTGAAAGGTCAAGTTGAAATATCCGTAGCACACTACTCACAAGGTTGCTGAAAGGTCTTGGGCAGCCCACAATCGATTTTGGCCATTCTCGGAGCTCATTAGGTAGGTTCAGTCCCTACTTTCCTCAACTTTATATTCTGCTTGAACCCAGATTGAACGGGATTTGCAAGACACTTTCATTTGCATCCTAATTTGGTTGCGATGGAAGACTCAGATGAACCCATCTGAATTTCTCATTATTGGTGGACTTTAACTAAGTGCGCTGCACCCAAGAAGAATGAAAAAGGTCATGGTTTTTTAGAGTTTTCATCAACCTTATGAGTGGTTTACTTCTTAAAAACATGCTACGATATCTCGAATATCATACTAACTGAAACATAACGCGGTCTAATGCACGATAGACGATGGATCTAACTAAATTCAGTTGAATTTCCCATCAACACCAAACTCGTGTGCAACTAAGGATAGTTAAGAAAGTCAATATTTTTGCAAAAAATTTCCTGGTCCCTTGATTTTCATTCAGTATTAACTCCTACTTAGCGCAGCCCAACAAAATCTGTCCGTCATATCATTCCACCTATGCAGTATGAGAGCAGTCTCGTCTGTGATCGGTGCTTTGCAGGCTGACGGAGCTAACTGGCACGCTTGGTGGAAGAGGGAGGGACAAATTTCCCCTACGAATTTTTACATAGCAGTACTGACTAGCCTTGCCATATCCAGTAAACACAAAACATCAGCTTTAAGGTCCATTGGAGTTTGGAACATCTGCATCATGCCACGCATCAATAACTATCTGAGCCAAGCGTCAGGGGCGGAGGGGGACATACCATGTAATTGATCAAACCTAGTTTGGATGATGGCAAGCATTCTGGTGTCGGTGACTTGACGCACTTTGCACATTCTCATCGAAATTTTGAAGGATGCAACTTTAGAGCATATTTGATGACAAAAACAACCAGCGATCCCCCCTCTGGCTTGGTTCTTAAAAAATTGACGGTTCACTATAATGGGCCGACGCCTACCTTCTCTCCGTTGCAACGTTATCACCTGCTTTACCGTTTGACAAGAGTACGGAGATCCTAATCCCCTTTGGTTAGCAGTTTAGGAACTGATTGGGACAAACCAACGGTACGAATATGCCACATGCCTCGATCTAGCCACAGTCACAGAAGTACTTCTCAGGTGCAGAATTGACTTAGAGTTACATATCAGAAGTCAGACAGAAGCCCCAATATATTTCTTGTTCAATAAAATCTGGACCTATTACCAGTGTCCTGTTCCATACACCTGTCCCGAAAATGGGTTATATGGATTACCACTTGTAGTCTCTTCCAGCCAGTGTGAAGCCTAAGGTATCTATCAAAGCGATTCCCACTGGTTATGAGCAAACAGCATAAGGGACAAGTCATCCACATGACAATCTTTAGGCCGTTTTGGTTCTCAAGGTTACAAGATTCCATGCTTGAAATAGCCAAAGGGAATCGTTTTCCAGAGAAAGCTGTGCTATAAAAATACATATGTTGTTCTTGGCAGGTAATGAGTAATTATGGTATTGTGGAGTTGACTGAGTTCACGAGTAGGAGACCGCCGACCGTTGAAGCAGATGCAATTATCCACTTCGCACTGTTCGTTAATTTCCGACTACTAACGAGTGATCATACATAAAACCTGAAGTGAACGTTTAGACAGTTCGCGAACAAAACTTGGAAGTATCGCACAGCATTTCGATGTCAGCAACAATCAGATTGAGGGACTTCTTATGGATGAATGAGGTCTAAATAAACATCACGATCATGGAAATCCCTGATGTTTTGAGCGACAGTCCCATCATTTCACCAAAAACCCGACGCCACAATCCACTCACCACCCGGTTTCATTGCTTTCACTGAATGATCAGGCGAAACAGGGATTCAAAACAAGACCTTGAGATGATTTGGAGTGATAAACTGGAGGCCAGTCAGCTCTTGGATCAAGCGGCTAAACTAGACGTGTACAGCACGAACAAACAATTCTACCACGGTGAGGCAAGGCGTCATCCTCTTGCAGCACAGTCGACCGTTGAGTCCTGGGCTCAGCATACGCACGATGCCATATTACGCTCAGAACATGAAAGAATGGCCAGTGAGGAGTTGTGGACTGTTACCACCAACATCTTACATGACGTGAGCAACGATATAGTGCAGCAGAAAGACACGGTCAATGCAGTCTTGCAGAAACATCTGACCAAACTGGAGAACGAATTGTTCACCTACCAGCAGAAACTGAAGGAAGTAAGTTAGACAGTTAACACACTCTGGAAGGTTGCTTTTCTCATAGTGTGGGACCCCTGAGATAGACGGCAGTAAGCCGCCATTACAGTGCAATAAAATCCCACGTTCTGTTTCACTCAGAAGTCGTAAAGAGCTGTGTACAATTCTCACAACAGTCACAAGTCTACAGACGACGTTCTCTTCATAACACATGTAAATGGCTCACCAAATCTGTCTTGCTGTTTGGGCGCGCAATTTTCTGATAGACCATAAGAGTAACGACAGATAAACATACTTTGAGTTTTTCTGTATTTTTGTTGAAACACCAGGTCCGGCTTCTGTCAGCAACTGAGACGTTTGTAACTAATTAATAAGCAACTGCCTATCTGACACCATCACATAAGAGGAGTCGCAAATACCTAGATGACAGAGCTCTGTCCTCTAGTTATTTGGTGTGTAGTACTCACAGCGTTTTCGAGTCCTATAAAGAGGTCTCCTTGACTCCAGAAAAGGTAGAGGTGGCACGCTCGAATATGGCGAAAAAAGCGACATGAATGGCGCAAAATCATCCGCTTTGGTTAAAAGAGCTCCAACTGAGTTTTGCTGATCAACTGGTATATACCGTAAACTTGTGGTGATGCCAATAGCGAGAACTGCCGTTAGCATGGGAACTGAGGAACGAAATCAATATGATGTGCCCGTCGCTGGACGTTGACTGTTATTACCTTGGCAATGAAGGCTTCCACAGTTTGACGAGTAGCCCGAAGAACTTTTTAGGCGAAGCCTTGTTTAACCAGCTAGCCAATGCATCTAGCTGTGTTTACTTCGCAAAAGAATGACAGCTGAGTACTAGTGACATCGCTCGACAGGTGGCTTACCAAGGACCAGTACCAGTGTTGTAAAAAATGGGCATGACCACGCCCATGTAGAGAAGATCGTGTGTCTCCAAGTTAACCAGTTTTCTCTACCCTGCAAAACAACAAATCAGGAGAACCCATTGTCACCAGTACACTTATGAAGCAGCATGAGAAAACCAATTTGATCTCACCCTCCAACACCACTTCCTCCGCTCTGACACCTGAGGAACAGGCATGACCAGTAGGTGCAGGCCCCTGCGTAAGTAGGGCATGTATCAGGCTTTCCAAAAATTGATGCATACTAGCTTGTACATTGTGTAGAGGGGAAACGAAAATATTACTATGTACAGTGTGTAATACAAGCTAGAATTAATGTAATGAACGAACTATCGTCGAGTTCTGTAAATTGTTCTCCACAGAGCAACTAATTTGATCACGGTATTTCTCTGTCGGCAAACTGCTTACCTCCACGAATATGACAAAAAGTCATATATTGGTAACGTCAGTTAGGTACCAGAATCACTTCCAGAGGAGCTTAGAAAACAATAAGTAGATTTGATTTTGGGTACCATTTCGCTTTTGACACAAAATGCTTCGGTGGTCCAAGTTGGCCGAGTTTTAAGACAAAATGGGAGACATTTCAGCATGACTTCTTCACACTAGCAAGCAAAGCCAGTGTCAGGTTTCGGTTTTAACATTTACTGACCCGCCAAAACAAGTAAAATCCAATAGTCGATACCTAGTAGGAGGAGATCTTGCTAACTGGCTTTCCTTCTGACTTAAAGCCCGGCCAGCTTTGTAGCCTAGTCACTTGGCCTTACAGGACTTTTTATGTCCAATTAGAAACGTCGTTGGGCAATAAATTTACCAACTGTTTTCTAAACTTTTGTGAAATCAATAATTTTTCAATCGGTTCCAACCTTCTTTCAACCAACCGAAGGCGCCAAAACATTCGGATAAGCCGTATTCTTGTTCAAAAACACAAGTGATTAAAAAAATTTTTGACAATGTCCACTCTACTTCCCCATGGATATTTGTTTCTCGTCAGCAAGTAATTATTGCTTTCGTTTAATCACACAAGGATTGAAATGAACGAGTAAATTGGAATAGTAAATATTGGGAGGCCGGAAAATGACAGCCCTTTCTTCTGCAATAAATATTAGCCTTCACATAGGATTTACTCCGCGTGCGATATACGCATTAAAAATGAAACGCTCGAATACCACGAATGATACCTATTAGGAATCTTTCAGCCGTATGTGCTTTCAGGCTGTTGAGTATGATCCTGTAGAGGAAGATTTGATTACTGCTTCCAATACATTTGGCTTTGCCACCGTTGATGCCAACAATACAAAGCTCAGTCCTTTCCATAACAAACGAAACTGAGAGTAGTTGTATTAAAGAGCTGTCATTCAGCCTGAACTCGAGACAAGTTAAGTTTAAGAGATTGGAAACTAACCTACCAATCCAGAGTTAGGGATGCTCTGATGAGTTCGCAATCATGTTTTTGATGTTTTAGACCACCGATGAAATCCGAGAAGTGGAGAAAACCATTGAAGATCTTCGCTGTGCAATCTCAGACAAAGACAACTATATTAAGCTGGTACAAACCCGGCTACATTTGCATAACCAGCGTCCAGGTGTGGATAATACCCGCGACAGGCCACAAAAAGCGTGAGTGAACGCGCTATCCCCATGTAGATTTTTTGAACAGTTTTTTTCAATCTACTTAAATCACTGTCTAAGTGGTTATCTGGTCCATTAGTTACCTTTTTTCAGCACCCATTCTTTATTATTTGTCTTCGTTTAGGGTACCCAAGGGGATAAGTTGATATCACCTAGTTGATGCTCATTTAGCATGAGAATAAGCTGTACAAATGCCCTTCAAATAGAGATAATTTCCGACAGTGTTCACGAAGCTGTTCCTCGTCAGCTACGAACTAGTCTTAATTTAAGCTAGAAGAGAGCCCGTCCGTTGAGAGAGGCCAAACATCCATGCCCTAGCAATGCTTTCTCTGGAAAGTACTGCTTATTTGGATATTTATGCCTTGATTTTGTGGATTTTGGGAATGCTGAAGGGAAAACTCTCAACGTCGTCCTTGCTAAGACACATCGAATGGGTGCAGCATCATCCAGTTCCTATAAACGTATTCATGTCTGCATTTTGAAAAGGCGCAAGTGTGGCGAAATAAGTGAACCCCTATCCGCTTTCTCTGCGTGGATTATTTCATCCCTGCAACTTTGAACCAAAACCAATGACATTTTAATTGATTTCAGCTGCAAGAAATGAGAGCCTCAATAAATTACAGCAATGATAACTGTTTCCGATCACGAACTTGCCAGGCTAGTCAACGGAATCTCATATTACGTGAAAGTTTTGAGGCCCAGTTGTACTGGTCGCTGCAACAGTTCGTAAGAACAGTGTTTCCCTAGGTGACTTGCATCTCCATGTTTATGAAATGAACAATACTGCTTTCACCAGGGAACAAGAGGCTAGAAAATGTCGGTTCTAGAATCTACACGCTTCGATCGCCCAAAGGTTGACCATGAGCTCCGGTGCAATATCCTATACGGTGGAGTATTCTTAAAGTTTGATGTTGCCTAAGAGTTGTCTGCTGTGTGTGATAGCTTAAGAAGTCAGGCTTCCATGCTTTATATCCTGTGACCCCGGCTAGTACAGACTTGCGCTGCCTTTTGGATTAGATCCTGAGTTTGAAGGCTCAGGATGCTCTGCCCGAAATATGCTTGTATTTTCAAGCTGAGCGACCAGATGCCTTCAACCTCCACATCTGACGCAATCCATCAGTAGGAGGTTATGAACTAGTGGCGAAATACACTCTTTTGCAAATTAGATCGGTATTAACGAGAAACTCAAATGAATCTCTCGTTTGTACTGTTCTTCCCTCAAATGTGCCGTCCAGAGACTGTCTCCTGTTTTAGCTGGCAAGGTGTGTGGTATATCATAGCATAGTTTCTTGACAGAAGATGCTACTCATAAGGTTGTTCAAAAGTTCGATAGCCCACGACCAGTTCTGGCCTTCATGTGGCTCATCAGGTAAATGTGGTTCACAAGTTGCATCAATCTTATGCTATGTTTGAACATCGAACTGTACGCAGTCAGCCACATGCGCTCATTTACAGATAAAGTTTGTGTTAACGATAGGCGTACAACCTGAGGTTCGGGTGAAACAAAAAAGCTAGCGAGAACCCCAATAAGTACAAAACGCTAGCGACCTGTTTGATAGCTCTTAGTGACAACATTAGTGGTTCGTACTGCCAAGAACAAAGATAGACTCTTCTGCGGTTTGGAATCTGGAACTCATTATTAAGGGTCGAGGAGGTAGACTCGAAATACGAACCGCTCCTGTTACAAAAGAATTCAAACTCTACAAGACACTTTGCTGCACACAGTGCAACCCGGTTAACAGACCACAGAAAGCTTCAACAGGTTGGCTGCACGTATAATTTATTGTGAAGAGAAAAAGCACATTGGAGCAGATGTGAATACGATGTCAGTTCTGCCGTTGCAGAACACATGAATCAGTGAATAATGAACGAACCAGATCAACCACATCACCCACGATAGCCATTTGATTTTGGCTGTCAGGAGAAAGTTGTGCCTCGTGTCTATATCTCAAAAACCTCACAGTCGATACAGATTCTTCAGTCAGCAATCGCAGGTGATTGGACCTGCACCTTTAAGTGGCTCCCTCTTCGTATTTGATCGGGTTGACAAGCACCTGGAAGCCTGAAAGAGTTTAGTGGGTCTATTCTGAAACAGATCAGTAGAAGACAACGATTGGAAACTACTATCGATGTGCACAACAGTGAAACTCTCAATAACAACCACGTGATTCATTTCATGGCGTTTATCGCTGGCCACGAGGACTCATCCAGCAAGTGGACGCAGTTACTGATCTAATGTAGTACTGTGTAGCAAAGAGCTGTCGGCAACTTACTCAACAAAAAAGTGGTGCGTGGAGTTTCATTTACCGCATTTCACTCTCTGAGGACACTGTGTCGAGGTTTTGAGATCTTAAACACAGGCTTTTTTGAAAGCCAAGTCCACTAGACACCTGAAGGCCAGTGGGCTCGAAAACATTCAGCACCACATTCGTCTCCTCGTAAACTACCTGTGGCCTACTGTGCATGCAACCAGTGGCTTGACTACACGCGATCAGCAAATCCAGTTCGGAGCCCATCTTGGATAGGTCAACACAGCCTAATGCGTAGCACGGTAAAACCCACATTTGTAATCCCGCGTGTGTTTTTTCTGAGCAGTTCATAGAAATGCGTTAGCAAGTCTGTAGCATTTCTACAACTCCAAGTATAATCATTTAGGGGGGGTGTGGTCGCTCATGCTGCATTTTGAGCTGCAGGGTTGTCCGCTGCGCTGGGAAAGTTGTGAATTCGGAACTTCCACTCAGGACCCTGCTTAGAACCACAACTTCAAATCCGTGTTTTTAATCCCGATAACTACAAGACAACATGTCCAGAATCAGGAACGAAACACATTATCTTTAGTGATGGAATAAACAAGTATTGGTCAGTCTGGATTCCGTTAAAACTGCACTTGTAAGACAGCGAAGCATATTATCGTAAGGTGACGAAATTCCAGGCTACATTTCCCCTGATTCCAGTAAATTTGTTGTGAATCGACACTACTTTTAGCACACCAGTAGCTTGGCGACAGATTTAGGAAAAATAAGCTGATGTTTAAGGGGAGCACATTTAGAAATGGAGTAGGATAATCGTGTGGCAGTGTAGAAGAATAAACCCCACGTGAACCGAGAAAAGAACTACTCGCAAGGTTTCTGAAAACAAAGAGGATAGGGCACCAGGTAAAAAAGGATTTTCAAGGAGTTCAACAATTATCCGGAAGTATACGTTTTAATACCCCGTGGAATGAATCAGAAGGCCCTAAAATATATAGCTTTAGCGAAATATCAATTTGGTTTTGACTGGCAACCCACCTGGAAGCCAGCCGAATCTTTTATTACTTATTTTTTTAAGTGACTAAATGTGCTGATCCAGTCCGCCCAATGTTTCACTCGACACGGTATTCCAGATATCGGGATACATTGTATAGACGTGATAATAGACGAAAGATTCAGTTATGTTGCAGGTGAGTTTATCGTCCAAATCATATTGGTATGCAATCGGTATCTGCAATTTGAGTTCAGATAACAATGTTGACGGAAACTCGGGAAATGCGCCAACCTGATGAGCCCCAAGAAGTGTGAAACAGGTCGTGGTATATAGCATTTATTTTCAAATACCAGGAGCATCGCCAAAATCCTCGAAATTGTGGATTGAAAAAACAAACGAAGAGTCTTCACGAAAGATGATTTTTCTACCTTCCACTGTACAGATATAAGTGTGAACTTTGTTCAGAAGACTAACAACTATCTACTTCAAATACTTGCTTCAACCCCTTTTTGAAAAGTAAGCATTTCTCGGACAAAAGCTTGAACGACGATCGGATGTGTCAGACATTAGGTTTTCGTCCCTCAAAACACCCTTAATATATGCATAGGAGTTATCTCCTGGTTTGGCCGAACTAAATGTCAAGTAGGCTTCAGGGTAAAAGTAACTACATTTTTGGTCATCTCAGTGGTCGCTTATGGTTGCTGGTGACTCGCTAACCCCATTTGGCCTGCCGTACTGGTCAATAATACGAAATGGATGACATTGTGCTCGAACCCAGCTTGTGATCGTGCTCCATGGACAGCAGAGATTCGAAATATTCTTGAAGTAGGAAGATGCTGTAAAACGCTGTGGAAGACACCGAAATGAATATGGACTGTACATTGAAATGAACTTTCACTCACTGTGAAAGCCCCCTCAACAGCAACAGATCTACGGTTTCCAAATCCAGCCATAGATAGAGCCTTCTGAACTACTCCCTCTCTTTGAACGTTGTCCGTGAATATCGTCAACCCTGCGTGAGGTTTCCAACTACAGATGAAGCAGTAGTCCTTAAAAACTTGTCTCAATGATCTTTTTCGCCGTAACTGTGGTGCTCTTTCTCTGCTCTTAGTTTGTCAGGACTCAACAGTTTATTCCAAATGATACGAAAATGACGCTGAAAGTCAACTTTACCTTCTCATCAGTAAACGTACTCAGTTCAATTGTAAAGTGTAACAAAAACTTGGTGTTTCGATGCGTAAACGGTAATGTCACAATTTTATTCATTTGTTGGTTCAAACTGAGTCGTGTATTTGTCTTCCTCTTGAGAGATCACTCGCAGGGATCAACCGATCATCGATCGCACGCGTGTTCCGGAAATGTAGCCGGACTGAGTGGTCTAACCGTGGGAGTATAAGTCACATGCCTGTTGTATCCTTACTGCTGGCTTCCCTCATACTGCATGACCTGCCTTCAGCACCTTAGTTGTGAGTCTTAGAGCAACAAGCAGGACTTCAACTTTGGAGAGGGTGCATTATCCATGACATTACAATGCGTTTACTCCTTGAGCGACTCCACCAACAACCGCGTTATTTCTCGACGTTAATTAGCTTTAACTCTGTGGATAGACGCGCTGTTATTAAAAACATCTGTCCAGGAAGGTAGGCACTTGAGTTTTCTGAGAATTATCCATACCTCGTAGTTCCGCATCTCCGGTTGGTTTAGGGCATGTAACGGAATAGAGGCTTTGTCATAGCCTACGAAGTTCTTCAGGTCTTTCTGGTTTGATCGAATTTGTCACCGACGTCAACATGCAACATACATTCCTAGGAACCATGTTATTACACAATAAAATCACATCGGAGCAGGAATAAATAATCTTAAAGTATGCAGACGAAATCGCGTTGTTGTCTGAGGAATATTCGTACGCCTAAAGTACTTCACACATAATATCGGGGCTTGTACCACATTTCAGCATGCGCTGTGCACCTCCAGAGTACCCAGTCTTACTTCTAGGTTGAGTGCGAGCAGCGTTCTCCAACTTGCGTCAGGTTTGGCGCCAGAAGCAAATTTTGCTAAAGACAGAGGACCGCATGTACAAGATTACTGCAAAAGTGACCATACTCTAAGGTAGGATATTACTAGCTTCCTTCGCCATTCACTTTTATCCTGCTCTTCATAATGAGACTTAATAATTAACGATGGCCTTGAGGCAGTAAACCAAAAGTGTTGAACTTTGCTATCACGTTGCCGAGGATGATTACGACAATGAACGCACGGTGCTAAGGAACGGAGACGTGAGGCAAAGCTATCGCTTGCTTGGTAAAACAACCACCGGGGTCCTCGGAGTTTTCCTCAACTTCGAAAATGCTATATTCTCTAAAACCGCGAACTTTAGCACAGCTCACACGTTGATAGCTCTTATTATAGCAACATTTTTCTATTAGAAAAAGTGAAGGTACAAACCGAAGCACGACGATGACGACGATAACAATGCTTTCTCCTAAGAAAACATCATAACGGCCAAGACTGCACTTTTATTGCAATGATTATCTGTTTAATAGTCAGAATTTGAGCCCTACTTTTGTAGAGTTTTCCCGTAGAGTTGGCGTAGGCACAAGCCTTTACAAAGAGCGAACAACAGGACAACGTCCTTACGTGTTTACCACCAGTTGCTCTTTTTAAGTGTATTTTTCGACACAAAACTTGACCGTATCTGAAGACTAAATGCTCAGGGAACATGCAAATGAAAATACAGTTCTTTAGGGTTCGACCGGTTCTCATTTCTATAATGGAGGCTGTTTTCTCTAAACTTTTACAAAACTGCCTAGTTTCTGTCTGATTTTCAAGCAAACCGCCAGTTTCATTGGATGTATAGTTTCATCAAATGCAAGGACAAAACATACCCCCAGGGCGTAACAGTGTAATGTCCAAGACGCGCATGCATCTATCAGTATTTCTTCCGATGAGGAGTACATACAACACATTGTGATGTGAGCGCCACCCGTAATTTTGAGGACAGTCTTATGTAGTGATATACAAGATGGTTTCCTATGGCTACGTGAGAAAAATGCGGCGTCTAAGACATTTCAGTTAAGCCTATCTTCGACAGTGGCATCTATGTTCAACCCGCCTATAACGTGGTCGGAAAAAGGTATTCTAAACTTGCTGACTCTTGCACTACAAAGTAACTCAAGAAAATAAAAGTAACACCCTTAGTTTTACGCAAATATGAAGGAGTTTCGCCAGGGATTCGCGTAAGAGACAGCTGAGAAACCTTTGAAACCCTTTATAAAGGACGAATAGAGGTCAGTTCACCACGAATTATATATCCCACGGTTAGATGGGCAGATGTGTACGGAAAGTAACCGTAACTGTATTACCACTATAACTCAGGAAAAATAAGAGTGTTACTCAAGCCGTTCTTTCCACTGGGCTTGCGTAGTTAACAAATTAGGTCCTCAGAAGAAACGTTGCACAGTCTACAAACCGTACAACTAGCTCTCCAGCCTGAACGACACAGCTCTTCCATTCTGCACTCTCCTCACCCTTCTATTTTTCTCTGCGACTGTCCGCATCAAAGTGAATCACGTACTGCTGTGCTACTAATGTTATTGCTATCGCCACTGTTTTTCAACCAAAAATCTAAACTCTCGTGGTGCTGCGAAATCTAGGTAGCTCGGGTGAGCTACTTGGTTTTCGGTGTATTCGCCGAGCTAGGTAGTTGGACGGAAAACATTTCGTCACCAGTGGAAGAGACATCGTCAAACGTCATCATCCTCTACTGGTGCTGAAACATTTACGACCAACCTTTCAAACTGTGCGAACAAACCAACACGCAAACCAAGACCGACACAAAATCGATGAATGCACACGTAAACCCTAGGTGCCTCCTCGAGTATGGAGACTACTAACTGAACTATGCTCCTCTAGTGTCTACGATAGTCGAAGTTGTTCATTTAACTTACGGGAAAAGATAAACCATCAATATCGAGGAGCTTTTAGTGTCTTGTTGTTTAGTAACTGCTCGAGTGTTACACTGACATTTTCACCATCGTTTTTTACACAGCATGTTGGACGAGCTGGTGGATTTGGAAAAAATTTTGGATCGTTTGAATGATCAACTTGTTGTTGCCGAAACCAACCTTAAGCGACTGCAAGACAATCAAATGATGCTAGAAAAGCAAGTTCAATCCAAGCAACACGCAATACAAGTCGACAGAGATCATGTGGTTCGCCATCGTGAAGTGTTTCCAAACGCTATTCACCTTCAAGGTCATTATTAATCAAGCCAAGGAGAAGCAGGACAGCCAGTTAACGGAAAGACTGCCACCCAGTTCCTCAATCAAGCATGGGAAACCGGGCACCATCTCCAATTATGTCAAAACTCAAAAAATGTGTTGTTTTCTGCGGTGCTCACAAGGTACATCACCTATAAGTCTATAAACGACTGACTTCTACAACCTAAACTTTAAACTTTGAAAACTACACTGACTGTGTAAATCGAAACGTGAAATTTACTGGGTCTTGGTTAGTAACAACAGATATTATGAGCTCATCGCACGCATCGCGTTCATACTGCGTTCTGCTGGGAACTATGATGGTTGCATCTGATGAGGAAACATCTTCCGAATTCCACTTAGTTCATTCATATTCGTTAACATCCTCCACGACGCCACCTGTAGCTTTTAGTTCATACTAAGTATATTTGCCAGCTTGCGATGTGGAAAATAGTGCTTCCCAAACTGACGAAACAGGACTCAAACTCACGCGGTCCGCGAAAAGCCGGCACTTCTGCAAACATTTCAGTCATATATCACTACATACTTATCCTTGGTAAAGTTATCAAGTATTCTGAGTCGTTTTTATTAGAAAATCTCACCTTGTCCAGTAAAATAAAGCGATGAGAGCAAGAAGTACGATAACTCAAACATTACGCATAGTTTTTCGCATTTTTCCTGAAAAATCAAAAATGTTCTCACAGAACGCACAATGAAAGTGTAAAAAGTAATATTTGCATTAGGGTGTCTGAATCTCCGTCAAAACGTTCTTATTTAGTCAATCTGTGCAATTTTAAACGCCTTCTAAACGTAAATGGAGCCCACATATGCTAATGACAATCATACAATCTAATTACTTTAGAAACAATGTATGCAAAGGAAGGCTGATGATGTTGGCAAATGATGAACCATGTTTTCTCAACACACTGATGTAATGGGTGTCCACGATATTTATATCTACTGAGTGTTTTATGGTGAAAGCCTCTGTTTACAGGCTAGCGTTTGCACTATGCCAAATCCTCGAACGTCTGCTAAGTGCATAGCACACTCTGGGAATCATGACGATGAACTCTGGCGAATTGGTTTCCTGTAAATTCTGTACCATACTTTTGCTATTTTTACAAAAGTACTGCTCAACTTCAGTCAAACGCATTACTCCGGTGCTCATATTCAGGTGAATGTAAACCACCGGTGGAAGGGATATCCACTATCAACCCCGAAGGCCGCTTCCGAAAATTGCACCGAATTCGTACACAACTCTTTTACTTCGGAATGAATACCTATTCGTTGGTCGTTGATCAGGTAGCTATTAATGTTTTTGGCGAGATTAGCAATTATTTAGCAAATATTTGCAACTTAACTGCCAATCTCTTCGAACACATTAGCAGCCACCTGATCAGTTACGAATGAAAGCAAACGAGCTACCAGTGCTCCCGTAAATTTCCAGCTATCTGGCCTTTCAAAAATCAACTGAACCTCCACGAATAATTGTGCGATTTAAGGGTCGACCTGCCAGTCATATTCTTAGAAGAAAATGATCACCAAAATTCATACAGGTCAACTTACCAGTTGGTAAATATAGGAAGAGAAGGGGAACCATGAGCTGACTTCAAGTGTTGCCCTCGATCCCCGATCCCAGATTATGCGTGTCATGGCATGATTATTTTAGCCGAGAACCAACGAGCGCACCTTTGAATACCGTGGCATTAAACGTCTCTTATTCCTGCTAACACTTGTTTGTTATCATGACTACTTGAACGCTTGCATACACATATTATTCCCCAATCTTTTGGCTTTTGCACTCAAAGAAGCATTGAAGGCAGTTCGGTGAAGCACAGAAAGAACGCGAATGAAACAACCTATGGTATTCGGTTCAACTTATGGTCCGTCTCGAATGCACAAACTCAGCATCCTAGATTTTTGCAGACGCCAGTTTATTCCGGTATTTCACACGAGCAACAGTACCGGCCTTCATTACAGGTGGCTCATTTTAAATGTCCAATAATTTAACTAGGGGTTAATTAATTGCCCATGCTTCAGGTAAAAACGATCACATTCTAGTCCGACCTTTTGAAAGGGCTCCGTATTACCTGCCGATTTCTAACCGATTGTTGTCCGCCATAAACAACATTAGGACACTGAACGGGCCGGTCAGTTCAGTCTAGTCTTGTTGACATGAATAACTAATTGAGGGCCGGCTTAGAGATGATAAAGATCACACGTTGCCGGACGTTCCCTTCATAGGACCGAGTGGATCACCTTTTTTTCCACAACTAACCTTGCCATTTAATCTGAGTTATGAGCTAGGTCGTATAACCCAGGCAGTAAATCGCTGTGTTGTTCACCTGAATGACGGCTGGACACTCAAGTTGAAGGTATTAGGAATTACTTGCGAATGGGATACACAAATATAAACGGAAACCGAACTCATAAGTGGATCACAATGGCAGGTTCCCAAAGAAGTATATCTTCGTTCAATACCTATCTCGTTGGTACACTAAGTTTGGCCACACAGAGGATGTGTAAACATCTGTGACGCCACCAGTATGACCGAACCACTTTACTAGCCACTGCAGTAAAACTCCAACCTACGGGACATTTTACTATCGAATTTAGGCTGCTTACTTCAGCTGACTGCTTACTATGTACAGTAAAGCTGATAATATCAATATCGCATTTATGAATATTGGAGCAAAAAGGTTCCTCTGTTTCTATCAAATGGGTTATTATCACTCGGTGTGGAAAGTCCTTTCGAACACTCCTGTTGAGCAGAGTCGAAAGGTGGACAACAAAACTAACAGTGTTCAAGATACTTAGTACCTAAGCGAAATATTCACTTGACACTATCCTGAGAGACCATCTATCAGGACAGACCACTTTTATTTCGTATTTCTGGGACTTTTTAATTACCTATTCCGGGACAGATGATAGTACGTTTGGTCAGTATTCTTTGCAGAACGAATAGATGTGGTGGAATGTTGTTTCGCCAAGTCGCGATTCACTTTTTATTATCTAACAGCTTCAGCTTCTATGATCTTTCTGGGACCTCAGGAGTCACACACAAAAACCTACTAGGTTCTGGCTGGGTAGTCTCCTAAGCCAACAATTTCCATTGCTTTGATAATGAAATTATAGGTGGCTTAATGAAATATTAGGAAGAGGGATAGTTCAGTCACCCTGCTCTGGAGTCAGATGGCTTTGAGTGGCTGCATTGTAGTGGAAGAAAAGACGGTAATCATATTATTGTTATTATTATTATTAAAGATGAACGCTGCATCGTCCCGTGTGATCTAAAAGGTGATGGAAAACATTGCACATTAAAGTCGAAATTCCAAGCTGACAGCGGAACTTATTTGAAGTTTGACCGTAAAAGTGTTTTGCACGCATGATTTCGCTATATATGTAAGGTGCTCGTAGTGGAATGGTGTGTTCTCATATAGTCTGTAACCGGCAGCTAGAACCACTTTATGGTGTCGTCAGTATGTGGGATCTATGTCCTTATATGAGTATTCAGCATTGTGGACGGAATTAAATATTCTGCATCAAATCCATGAACCAAATTAACACTTATTTAAAACTCCTAACCGTGGTTTGTTTATGGATCAAATACAATTGTAATCAGATTTTCAAAGGAAACTGTCTCCATTGTGCCACAGTAGCTGGGTTGAATTCAAGCCATTTCATATTTGGCCTTCACTGTTGTTTTGGAATGTCCTCGGCACGGTCATCATGGCCCAGAAGAAATAAGGAAGATCAGTATATGATACTCGGCTAAAATCCTGCGCGTACTTCCTCGAAACCCTTAGTTACCGTACAGATGCAAACTAACTGCCTAATATATGAAGCCTGTTAATCAACTCTACAAACATAGTTAGCCAAATATCCAAGAAATCTGAACTGTAATGTTGTGCACCACTTATACGACTCAAGTCACATCTCAACAATTTGCTAATAGTGTCAGACATATGGTGTAGCTGATCATATGATGTGCCGCAAACCCAAACTATTATTTGTATCACAATACCGGTCTTGCTAACCATGATCACGTCTCTTCTACTTACGGTACAGGTGAACCAGACACCGTTTATCGTCATCAGCTTCAGCCTCCGCCACACAACAAGCATGATGCCATAGTGTACTTTCAAACAGCCATGGAATTGAAGTTTCTTGTAGTCCCAAGTAAAATGCCCCTGATCCATTTGTCTAAAAATTGTGAACAGTAAGACAAGGTGCCGTGGCAGAACAAGATGACATCACTGGGAGCATTGTCCTTATCATGATGGAGAACATAACGTTAGTGCTCAACAATCATGCTTCGCTGCCATAATGAGAGAGCTCTTGTGCGCATTCCATCTCCGTACAGGTGTTGGAAATAACCCAAGACGAGAGACAAGCAACAAATAATCGTTGTTTAGTCAGTGACCACGCGTTCATAACTTGAGAACGAACCCAGATTACGTAAGGTTATCATAACGATCATCATCATCATCATTATAATTTCCATTGTAAATCTCTGTTTGCTGTAATGCTTTCATTCACACTACATCCGAACAAAACCTGCCACACGTTCAGAAACCAATTGATCAGTTTCGGCAACCAACATCCCAAGTAGCCTAGTGTCACAAGCTGAGGTCGTTGCTACACTGCCTCAACTCCCTACCTAGTAATCATATCAGCCTGGTCTCACTGATGCACGTTGATGCCTGGGGTGCTACAACTTACAAATGATAGAAAATTTAATGATACTCAAGTTATTCAATGAAAGGTGATCGGGTCACAAAGCCAGAAAAAAGGACAGCAGACTACTTCATATAATGTACACACCGCAGTAGCAGCAAAAACTTTTCTGATAATATTCGTGCCATGCAACAGGAATCATTGGCGTAGCCGTGTTTATTCGTCCAAATCTAAATACCATGAGAGGTGAAACAGAATGGCTCTATTGTTAAAGGTGCTAATATTTCTCTCAGTGATATCTGACACACTCTGGAAAAGAATGAAAGAGGTCTAAAATCATAAGGAAGGAGTCAACTCACAGAAAAATTCCTCATTAACGAATAGGAGGGAAAATGCGTTACACCGCAATCCGACGCTAAGTTGCTGTGCCCAGAAGATTTTGAATAGAAAATCTTTCAGTTGTGGCAGTATTGGAAGAATGTTCATCCACTCCGAGTTGATCTGGTCTGAGAAGATCATTCCCTGGTGAGTACCGGTCACTTAAGCTCACAGGGTAGTTCACTGGTCCCGGTAACTTTGGTGGGCCAGATGCAGACAATTCACTGATGGTTATTGATGACTGGCCTGGTCTCCAAGCTACAGTATTAGCCAAGTGAAGAGGGAGCCTTGAATTGTACCTGTGGTGACACGGAGTTGGCTCATTGTTGCCACACATGTTTCTGAAATGAAACAACAGAAACGATGGGTGTGGTACAATGAAGTTGGGATGGCAACTCCGTAGGAAACTTGTACAAACTGGTTGCTTCATTGTGGGGACACTTTCGTTCGGCTGGCTCGATGAGGATACTGGGTGAAGATTCGGCAACATAGAATTTTCCATGTCCTGTAGCGAATAAGCCCTATTTCCGGAAATGGCGTTACTTAAGGAGTCGTCCGTACTATTGGAGCCGTTGGCTTCGTGAATAGATGCTAAACTAGATTTCAGCTGTAATCGTTTGTACCGTTTTCGACGCCTCAGGAAGCTTCCATTATCAAACATGTCTTCAGAATTGGGATCCAGAATCCAGTAGTTACCCTTTCCTGGATTTCCCGGTTCCCGCGGTATTTTGATGAAACAGTCATTCAGACTCAGGTTGTGACGTATTGAATTTTGCCAAGCTGGGAACCGCTCGCGATAATAGGGAAACCGTTCTATGATGAAGTTGCAGATCCCTGAAAGTGTTAGCTTGCGCTGTGGGGAATGGAGAATAGCCATTGTAATTAGTGCGATGTAAGAATATGGTGGCTTAACCGCGTTCATTTTCGTTATGGGGAAAGCGGATTTGGATGCAGTGGTTGATGTTGTAACACTGACGTCATTTAGGTTCACGCAACGATCATCACCCCAACAACTTGGTTGTCTTTCTTCACATCCCAGTTCACCCGTCGTGATATTTCCAATATAAGGATGGTGGTGTTCCATGGATTCTGTTTGCCATATAAACGATGCAGCTGACGTTTGTTCTGCCTCTGAACATGCGTAGCGTTTCATGGGTGCACACTTTGTAATGCATAGTGCAGTGGGATTCTCCATTGGTACGTCGTTTCCACTGTACTGGTCTGTGAGCCACTGTCTCGTTTGCGTTTGCCTTGCCTGCATCACAGGGAGTTACGTAAGCTGAGCTGAAGTGCGACCGATCAAGGACCGTCCAATGAAGCCACAGCAGAAATTCCTGCCTGAACAGAGGCGGCCGGTTAGAGACTCAGGCAGTCCGTAATTCCTGCCCTCTCAGCCGTGATTGGTCCACCGATCGTGTGCGACATCCGTCCGTCCAACCGGTGGCCAATAGGCGCTGCAGCTAACCGCGTGCTGCCGGTTGCATGTGTGGTTCGCGCGCTAAAAGGACGCACAGATGGAGGCAGATCAAGCTGCTGCCTGATGGATGCAAATGTCATTCCAAAGACGAGGGGACATTCTTCATCGGATAATTCAGTTATTGTATGGAACGACTTTGAATTTTCGTCAGATCACTGAACCACCAACTGAATTGGCGAAGCGAACAACTGCTTAGTGAAGCGAAGCGAGCGAATCGCTTGCTGTTTCTAGCATGTTAGATTAGCGTAGGGCACTCATCTGTCTTCATACCTTGACATCCACTGTGGTACTGCAATTGTGACAACTATGCCAACTTATTCAACTTATTCAACCTGACGGCCTGTTGCCATTCAGAACATGGGATTAGACTGATTGCAGTGTAGGTCTTAACTCATACAGCCACCCACTGGAATTTGACTAAAATCTATCAGCCTTTGAGGTTACGTCTTACATTCACATGTCACATTTTGCGCGGTTCTTAGTTGTCCTAATCTCATGATGCATCGTGAGCAGACAACCGCAAAGCTAATTTGTTTTTTTGATCGCCACTGAGGGTTATACAGTTAATCTAGTTCCAAGGTAGAATTATTGGTTATAACAACAGATTCCTGTCACAAACGATATGCCTTTAAAATTTGCAGAATAATGGTCTGTTCGTCTCATTGCTCGTTATGGTATGCAGGACACGAAAAAAGTAAAATAGCGGACTAGTCATGCATGAACGTTTCGTATATTTGAAAGGACAATGATATTGGGGTGTAGCACGCAATTTGTAAAAAAACAGTTATCATGAAAGATGACCTATGGGATGAAGCCTTGAGAAGTGCAAACTTCGAAACCCATGAACTCAGTTAACAAGGATTTCTAAACAGAAGATCCATTCAAATGTTTTCTTAAAACGTCGTGAAGCAGAGGTGCCTGTTGGCTAACTTTGGCTTTACCGGGTGTAGCATGATAATTTCGGTTAGAAAAGTCTGAATAGGAAACTGCCCGTGATAACAACTCTGTTTGGAATAGCTGATTGGGGGATTAGCCAAAGTGCACAGCAGTAGCTGCCGTTTCAAAACTCACTGTCTGGTCTAACGAGACTGTTACAAACCTTTACCGAAATTGTCACATGAAGTACACAGCTGGAAAGGTCTTCGACTCCGTGCATCAATGTGCGCCTAAATGTTTCCTGTCCATCTCTTGCTGAAAAATGTAGGCTGCGTACTTCATACACAATGGGGAGGAAGCCTGAACCCCTGAACCTGCGTCCTTGGCTCTCCCCCTGAAGGCTTAAAACCTCTGCCAGTGCAGCCCGTCCTGCTTAACAGCTTTTGATTGTGCATTTGTGTGTCCGTTTGTGTACTTCGTACTACCTCTACTGGCTGACTGACACCAACCTTACCAATAGATAACCAGGCCCGATACGATATACTGACTATCCGGTCTTTACGCGAGTCGCGTTCCCCTGGTTCCCCCTCCGGTAGCTGTTAGATTAGACAATCAGCAACAGAGCAACAAATGAATTTTCTTTTTATGTGCTACGACAACCCGTCAACTATGCTGTACACACTATTGTTTTTAAGATCAACTCGATTTTGTAAAAGTTGGAGTTTAACATTCTGCACCCAGTGGTTTTCCTTTCTAATCTAACCCATTAGTTTGTAGTCACATTGTAGTCTCCTATTCACAGTGCTAGTGATTGTCTGACTTCTCTCCTGGGATCTGTTATACGTGGTTATTACAGCCAACAATGAGTTGGGTACTACCATGTGGTGCTTTTCACAAGAAATTTGTAAGTCAATCTTAGATAGCAAAGTATGGAGCTGATTTACGCCGAGAAAAACTCGAGAGAAACCAAGTTATCGTCTGACCGAGTAGAACTAAGATTACAGTATATTACTATGATTTATTTGAGTACATAATGAGATAGCATGAAGTGAAAAATTAGCGTGAAATTTCGGTAAGACTATTGTGTTATTATCATCGAATTAGAACGAACTTTGGTAGACTACCTCACGCATGATGTTGCTTCACCCCAATCGGACTCATATCACACCACGTACCACACCCCCAGCGCACTTTTTTACAATTTTATTGTAACACTGTTGACTTTGTGTGTGTGTATGTTCATGTGTACGCGGATCGGTACGCCATCCGCTTGTAAAGCAAACACCAACTTAGGCACGAAGAAACGTAATCGGTTTGTTTGTTGTTGGTCGGTTCGCTGCTCGGTGAACTCGGGCTGCTTGGTGTCTGTTCAAATTTACAGATTTTCACCAAATTCGCTTGTGCTTACATTACTTTTCACCTGAACACACACAAACACTTCGTCTTCGCCGTGGTGATCTTTCACATCTCGACAACAAAACTCAGTTGTGGACGTTGTATACACAAAAAGAGTCTGTGTTCTGTCCACAAACGAGTGTGAACTGATTGACACGTGAGGGATTGTGTTGACAAACAAAAGCCTGGAGAAAGTCGACATGTGTGCTGAGTCTGGTCACTCCTGTCGAACGGCCTGTGTTTGTGTTTGTTTGAATGATCAGCGGACCCGCAGCCAAACCGGTACTCACAGCATTCCCCACCCACAGTTGAATGAACATGCCAGTGTAAACATAGACAAGCAAAAGTCCACCGAAACTCCTTACAGTGCGGTACAAAAATGACACCCACCTGTTTCAGGTGCGGTCCTTAGCAGCGGAGTCAAAATAATGAACAGCCACATTCTTCCAAACAAAACACACTCTTTTGAACGGCAACCGTTGACCAGTACCCCAAAAGTTGTAGGTAGCTGTGGGATTTGAAGAATTCGCATTCATATCACTCGCATTTAAAGTATCCTCCTGACCTGCGGCAGTTATTGTGCCAAGTCCAACCATAAAGATGGAGGCACTGGACTCCGCTAGCAACACCTGTATTTCTACACACGCACAACCACGGATCCATCGCTATGCCCCACTAAGCACGCTAACAACGCACAGACGATGTCACGTGGTTTGGTGATGATACGCCTCCAATCGAAAATGCCCAGCTTAGCGAACAAACAAACGATCATACATTCGCACGGGCATGGTCTTTCAGATATTTAAGAGTAGCATGCAGTCTACCAAGTCACTTCATTGCGGTATGATCCAGCTTAAATTCATAATCGAGAACCTTTCATCTTTCCAAAATATGAGGTTCGTTGAATGACACACCATCAAATTTAACTGCGGAATTGTCTTGAACGACCAGTACACTCATTTACATACCAAGTTGGTTTTTTCTTGATACTCACCTGGAACCCAGTCGAATTTCTCGTTTATGGTGTTATTCTGCTAAGTGCTGTGAATATCGCACTATGTCTTGAATGACATTCAGCTGACCGGTGGCTCGAGGGCAATTGATTAAGGGACGGATCCTCCGAATCATGAAGACAATGGCTAAAATTAGGAAAACCAAATTAATTAGGACAAAAGTGTCCAACGGCTGACTGAGTGATAAAAACAGCAAGTATGGTGCGATGCACGATTTACATACTGTGCAATTAGATTACTTTCGAAATTTCAACATTTCAAAAGAACATTTGCGCAGGAAAGGAAAGATAGTGATGAACAAGTGTCACTCTACTGGTGTAACGATGGATACTACTGATAGGGGCATGCGAATATTATGTTTTCTCGTAAATCCGCTTCACTTCACTTCAAAAGTGAGAAATATTACGGAATTTGCAGAGTCGCATTTGCTTCCATTTGAGCAATAGTCAATGAATATCTAGGAAAGTTCAGGTAGACGCGTTCAAGGAGAAGATGTATATTCAGTTTTGTAAACAAGATGCATATGAGAGTTTTGCTTCCCTGTCCAATAGTTTGTAACTGTTCAGTTTGTGTTTTCTAATAAACAACTCCGAAGCGAAGGCCTTCTTCCTTTCACTAGTACACGCAAAGAATATAAGCAACGATTGTCTAAGATTTTCCACCGATCCTAGTGTTCATTTTTGGAATCAATTTGTTCGCAGTAGACTCAAACCTTTGCAGAGGGTATCTCTGACGCAGCCCAGATAATTGTGACGCATACAAGCAAAGTCACCATAGATGTGTCGATTACTCTGCTGTCCATGTAAGGGTCTTATCCGTTGCAACTTTGGACGCTACGTTTCATCATTTATGGTGTTACTTGCATTCTTCATCACCCTCCAGCTTTCAAACATGGGTTTTCGATTGAAGTTTGATTTCATACGCCCATCACTCACACATCCACGAAGGCTTCTTTTCCTCACACAGATGCGCGTGTGCTCTCAAGACAATAGCAAGCCCTAGAGAAGACGTTCACTTTAGTTTTATTTACCTGCATTCCCTGTTCTTTCCGGCTTTTTTGTAGGTCCAATGTGTGAATCAAATTTACAGGTAGCACATCAGTAAGATGATGGTAAAAGAATGGAGTGAGCCATATGATTGACAGTGGATGGCGTCCGGTGGAATCCGATAATGTGAGCAATACGATTACCAGTCCGGACTTGGAGTTGCAAACGGATGTTTGGGAAATACGGATATAAGTTTTTCTTAGTTGGTTCGGGTAAAAAAACCGTTGGAGATGTTCGACGTTCGTTTTTAGGTTATGTATTAAACACTATGAATAACGTCAATTTGACCACACATTGACAGAAAGCAAATGATGTGTCTCATGTCTAGATTAGACAAAAGTATTACTTATACTGCGCATTAAAATTCGTCCTCCTCAAGTTTTTCACTGAGCATTTTTTTGTAGTATTGTAGCAATGCAACCTTATTACATTTTTCACATCTTTCATATGAGGCTACTAAAATCCCGAATTAGGTGAAAGGTAACTTTCAGATTCCATCGCTGTTACTTTTGTAAACGACTGCTGAGGCCTCAATTTTTCCTTCCGGTCTGTATCATGACTGGAACTCTAGGGACGCGCGAAAAGTTTCGGAGGCACTGGTCTAGGACGCGGTAATACCTGTGGCAAAGACAAGGAGAAAACCTCAAAAAGGGGTCTGTAGAACGAGATCGCTGTCACGTTTTGAGTCGGTGGGTTCATGTACGAAATAGACATTTCGGAATGTGGAAGGTCCTGCCGTTTTTAGTGCATACTTATTCTCTAACAAAGTCGAAGCGTCAACCTCTTCGGCCATCTCTAAAGTGTGCGCCAACATTGCACAATATAAAATCGACCGGGGTCCGGCCACATATTTAGTCCAAGCCAATTCATCTCAGGACCTATTTTACGTCAGAAAGAAATGGGTGACTGTCGATCGGTCGGTCACTCAAAAGGAAACCGGCCAACCTGGAAAACATAGGACCGTTGCAGTTAAATTTAGTAGGATGCCTCAACGGTAGAAATAAGTTACTGGAAACATTAAACCATTCTAGTGAGCAAAATTCATCCTCATTAATCAGATAAACTTGGTAAAGAAGGTTAGTATTACCTCGAAATATACAAGCCACAAATAGAAACTTGTGAAATTCATCAAAATACGCTCATTTGCAAGCAAATTTAGTTTCCCAAGAGACTAACCTGGAACCCAGCCGAATCTGTCGTTTGTGATGTTTCCAGGTAACCGAACGTGCTGCACCAAGCACGGTTGCTACAATATTCGAGATATCGCAATATATTTATATTCGTAACGAGTAATAGTGCATTATGAGTAGTGCATTGTGAAATTTATCTTGCACCTTTTCTGGCAAATCAAAGAAGATTCTCACAACTTTGCAACGATTTAGATGAGAGATCATCCATAAGTATGGAGAAATAATGAACACTTGAGGTTAAAGAAGTTGCCAAAGTTACTCCCATTTATTTGTGTTTTTTAAAATTTGCTTACCCACTTTAACAGATCGTAGACCGACATTTACAAGTGGATGTGATACAGTATACTAAAAATGAATTACACAAGAAAAAGTAGATAGTGTTAGCAAACAATTAAATGCAGTTTGGATAAGCAAATGGCCAAACGTGGCTCATCAATGAATATTCGATCAGCAACATTGGTTTACCTGACCCCTGTCCTTAGAAATTCTCTCCCAAAAGTGCTGGTACAAAAAACATCAACAAAACCTCGAGTAAAATCATCCTTTCTTCAATATTTCTACAAAGTCTAATTGATGTTTTCCTTTTTCTATAAAAGACCAACAATTGACTTCGTTTTGGGTACTTCGGGAGGATGAGTTTCGTTGTAGGTGGGAGTTCTTCGTTCCGCAGTCTTGTTGGAGCTACGGTCACAAGGATCCAGAAACTGGAGCCGGAAACTGGTTGCAGTTAGGTCATACTGTGTACGCGGTATCGAAGTAATGGAACGCAACCCCGCAACCTTATCGACTTTGGATCGGCAGCTTACCTAACCACCCGAATCAGAATAGATTTGAGCAATCCTTCTTTATTTGTCACCCTTTCCCCTAAAAGCCTTACATACGTGCTCCCACAGACAGGCTAGACTGCAACGGTCCGTTGCAACACAAACGTGTCCTGACAAATATTTTTTTCGGGTCGTCTTTAGCTCAGAGTTTTTGTGCTCAAGATCGCAACCTTGATATCTTGGTGACATACACGCATTCGCAAACTAAGTTGTTGGTTACGGTTCTGACGGCGAAATTAAGACGTATCTACAATGAATGCCATGAGAGTTTGATGTGGATGAATTTGATCTCTGATGCTATGATCTTAATAGTGCGTACGAATGAAAATTTATCAATATATCGGACGGAAAAAGCTATAACGGAGCAATCTACAAATGTAATACTCCTATCTACTTCATTTTTACAAATTGTATCGTCACATCATCACCGTCGGCAGCAATACACTAATGCTTAAGTATCATACAAAAATGAGGGAAGAAAGCCCTAGTAAGGAGTGAAAAGGAAATGGGACGGATAAGATTAACGGCATAAAATAAGTGCTGGTGCTCAGCTAAACGTACCCATTTGCAAACAAATTGTGGGTTGCGGAAGACTCACCCGAAACCCACCTGAATCTCTCGTGGACTGCCGAAGAATTTTCAGCAACCTTATGAGAAGTGTATCATGTTCATGAGTGTAAGGAATTTTATCATTCTTGGTTTTCATCTCTTTTGAAATGAAGCATGAAATTAGGATACAGTAAAACCTTTTGTCTTGTGTCGGTACTCTTTTCTGTCCCCACCAGCCTCTGTTCATCGGAAAAGGCTATTCAGTGCACCTTACTGTTGGAATTTTTTAAACCATCGGTAGATGGTTGAGTATGAACTAATCGTTTTTACGCTTGACCGTCTGCTTACAACCCACCAACATTGTTTTGGTTCTAAGGCGTAAACTGAACCAGGTGTGTTCGTACATCACACATGACCACACACTGACATGACTACACTGCCAGCCTAAGGACGTGTATCGTCAGACAATCTAAGTTACGTCCAGAGGCGATCACTCGACTGAATTTAGTCAAGAACCGAGCTGGAAAACAACACCATACTTCCGACCTACTGACACAACTTGTTACCTTGTTATGTGGGAAAGCGCTTTACCCTAGAGAGAACTGCTGGAAACTTACTTCCGTGTTGGCAAAATATTCCTTAGAAAAACAACTATGGCTGATCTAAGCCAACAATTTACAAGTGAAGTTTTGGACGCCCCATTCTTCATTTTCTCGTTCATTATGTCCACATTCTGAAAAAGAGACAAACGGGAGTTGTTATATAACAGTCATGCGTGTGATTTTGCGGTAAGGTGGGTTCTGTAACCATCTTTGCTGTACCACCCGTTTGTTCATTTTTATAAACGGTAACATATACAACTAGAGAGAAGAAAATGAGGTGAATAGTGGTAGCAAGGATCATTTGTGTATAAACTTCCCGATAGGTAAATGTTGAAGGAATATGGTGTGAAATTGTGATAATAGATATATTCAATGTAGTTGAACTTGTGGTTCGCTTTACCAGAATCACTTGTTTGAACTTGGATTGCAGATGGTCATCGGGTCTTCAGTTTACCGAGCTCAACATAGCATCTATTTCCCAACTTCATGCGCTGAAAGTATTCTCTCTTTCGGTTGCTTCGAATGGCGCAAACCAGTATTTCCAATCGGGCCGTTTTGGGAGCCTTCTCTTGAAAGGTTCTTTTCAGAGCGGATCAAATTTGGGTTTACGATATCAATGCCAGGCACAACACAAAATTAGTCTGACCACTTGAGAAACACTATAGCATGTCTAGCACACGTGCAAATTCTACCACTAATTAAGGTTGACTGCGTAATGTGATTTGTACTAGTGAGTCTAAATTTTCTTCCAATAGCTTTTCCAACCACAGCCTTTCCTTCAGACTCTTAAAAGAGAGTTAACCAAACAAGTGAGTATGCCGAAAATCTTTATATGACGGGCGCGAATTAGAAGTTTATTCCGATTCCGAGAACTTGCGAAAGGTCGGTTCCATCGATCCACTGGTAAAGTATACTAATAATCAGGATTTTAATTTCTACGCGTGGGGAATTTAAGGTCAAAAACATGAGAGCCACTAATTTAAAATAACTGTCACAGAAAAACAGCTAATTGTTTAAGTTACACCTGACTGTGTAGCAAGATGAAATTCCTAAAAACGAACACCCTTCTTATTGGAGGATACTAGTTTATAGCTGTTGACGAGCTTCACTAATAAATCCGTATTTATTTTCTACTTTCACTTTGAGCCTTATAATCATGGCATGTTGAACAAATGAACATAAGTTAAACGAACGCGCGCGCCAAATGGCCAAATTTCATACCAGTTTATTTTCGTCAAAAATTTGTTCTCAAAAAAGGGATGAAAAACGTTGCGTAAGTAGTTGATTTTCAGAGTAATTCTTCTCAAGAAACTGGAGCTGATGATCCCGTTTTACCATCGCCAACCCTGTTGACATCAACCTAATTTGGTTTAACATCAAAAAGGTGAACTAGACAGGCCTGATAGTTTCACTCAAAGCAAATAAATCGGAACTCCTTGGGTCAAATTCGTTTTGTGCTGACATCAGAGTCATTAGTTCGGCTGAGCAAAAAACCCCATCTTCTACGATTAAAACAGCCCAGGATAAACACACTTGTGTGCACACCTGTACACGTACACTGTGTTGGTCGTAACCTTTAGTTCATGCATAAAAACTTCAGTGCCAAGCATCAAACGCACGGTGCAAAACACATGTCCAAGCAAACATGGTTTTGGGTGTGTAAACCTTATTCCCTAGCGGCAATTTTGCACGCCATAGCATCACTGTACGAGGGGCGTGGGTATCGGGCAGAGATAAGCTGGCCAAACCGCCGGTTGGTCCATGTTAGTTGGGTCCCATCATAGAAAGTTTTATGGTCATCTTGAACCTGTTCGTAAACGCTCCCTAAATGGTTTTACTGTTCGGTTCATGTTTCTGGTCCCACATCACAAGCAAGAATGCACACAAGCAAAACATACAAGGCTTCGTAGTGTTAAAGGGATGGTCGTTTGCGAACCCCAATTGACTTTTTTGATATGGGAAGAAAAAGCAGTAAAACTACTGTTCTGTTAGTTAGGGTAAATGAAAATAATCTTATTTTATGGGTTATTTTTTCATATGATATCATGTACCTGAATTTTTGCGCTAAAACTAATTGCCCACTCATAACCTAGAAAAATCAAGTTGATTTCGTCACGTTTTGTATGAAGTATTGCACTGAAATTTCCTACTGTCATTGAAGTCAATCTCTGCCGAAAAACGAGAAGTTGTGTACTGCAGTTCTATCTTTATTTGGAATCATCAATCACGAAACTCCAGTAGGGAATTTCGAAGCCGTAACCCGCCGCCTATTGGTTCAACCTTCACCCGTTTGGGCTAGTGCTGCTGAACAGGGAGTAAGACGAATAAATTGTCGTGAAGAGTCTTCATTGAATCAACGTGACCTTTTGTTAGAACGGTCCGAAACTCGAGGAAAATTATATTAGACTGTTAAAAGCTATTGTGTGACTATGGCATTCGATAAACACCCAGTACCACGTAAGGTTCATACAGTGTCTTAAAGTCAATGGATGGATTTTGTTCAAAACCTTTGGGCTGTTGACACTACGGCCGTTTGGGCGCGAAACAACTGACCAACCCTGGCTTTCGAGTGACTTCGTGTATCTTTAGGCAATATGGCAGCATCCTATTCCAGGTGTAATATGGTAAATATGCACCAGAATTATCCTACAGTGAAAGATTATCTGTATTTCTTGGGTCGATTTGGCCTGTCGTGATTGCTTAAGGGTGATATAAACGCCAAGTTTTGTGGCTTAGAGCAGATGTGTCATATGGAGGGCCACTAGCGAAACATAAAATACATACGCCTTACATCTTTAGCCATAGGTTCTCAACTCACACAACACTAATTATATGTGATGGAAAGACCGAAAGACCATAACTGTTCCGCACTCAGAATCACTTATGCGCGTCTATTGCTCATTCAACCAATCAATTATCACTAAGAATCATTTAACAGTCTGACATGTACCAATGTATCATCAACAGGTAAAGAAATCTAGAAGGCATCATCATCAGCAATGACGACAACACCAGGTGAAAATACTGGCTATTCACCGCCGGAGGAAAGATCGGAACAGGTGGGGGGAGCTGGGTCTAACCCATCACAAAAATCATAGGTGCCATCATCTCCACCATCAACTTAATAGAAGGGCATACACCCACTTCAATTACCCTTGATAATGAAGGCTCAAATACAGCTTCTGGACCTCTCTATTACTGACAGTCTGGAAAGTGTGCTGATTCGGGTTTTTATCCGGACCATATACACATATGCGATGCGAATTTGGCATTCAAGTTTGCACAATATCTACGAATGATAAGTGCGATTTGGACCTGCAGTCCCCGCTGAGGACTTGGAAATTACGTTTGATGCGGACGAATAATGAGTGGTGCTCAAAAGGCCACTAATACATAAAAAATGAAGCCGCTTTTGTGCCCACTTCCGACAATGATCGATTATCCTTTTTTCAAACATTTGATCTGTTTTATTTCACAATGTAATTCAGCATTTAGCTAAGCGGCAACTTTGTCTAACGTAGGAGAGACTTACTGCAAATTAGCCAGTCAGCTGAGCGTCACTGACAAAGCATATTTCCCACGTGTTTTGTCTGGCTTGATAAATGAGTTTACATAACACTAGAATTTATCTTTTTCCCACGCCTTATGGTCTGCCCTTCTTCGTTGATCACTGTTCCAGAGTTAATACAATTACGTAACACAAAGAATTCGGTCGGATTAGTGTCATGTTTTGCAGCAGGTATGTTCATTTCTTCGTAGTTTACAAATGCTGGACAAACGTCCTCAAGGAAGGTGGAAGTGAGGGGGGGTCGCCATTTGCCTTCGTCAGGTGGAGATTTCCGGAAGCCACTCTGTGAAACGGAGGAATCAATGAAAGTAAAGCTGAATCTTCTAGCTTTCAGGTCTAACTTTGGTGTTCAAAAAAGGTGAAGTATGACAGATAATACTGGTAAATAAGTTCGTTCAGAACAATAAATACGATCAGTCAACCTACGTCCGAAAGATTAAGCAGCCGTGCTGGAACCAGTCAGAATTTTGGCACTCCTGAAATGCCTCCTAGAAACGAAGTCCTCATGAATGTTTCAGACTCTGGAAAATGTCAGCTGTTTGATTTCTCAAGCGGCATTCCCCACTAAGTGCATTCAGCTCTCTGATTTTAGAGTGAGAATAAGATCAACAACTACATTCACGAAATTAATTGGGCGAAAATGTCAAACATTACTCGGAAAAACCAACCGAGACCTGGGTACCGTATACAAGTTCAGGCTTTACTTCATTTTTTCAGTGGACAAATTTATTTCAAGTGCTGCTGGCTGAGGCCGATTATTAACAAAACCCCCAAACCAACCTCTTTTCCTAGCAAACAGGGGAGTTTCATATTACTGTCGACTTCTAGAACTACGATTATTCGGATAAGGTTTTTCTTCAACACATCGCCTCAATGAAATACGGACTGATCGGAGTCGTGATCAAGGTTCCTCATAAAACCTCACTATGTCTCAGCACTTACGCCTTTTGAGAAAAGACAGGTTATTAGCATGTGTAGACAAAAAGTTTATGCAAACACATTATCTTGGAAAACGGGAGATTACCAGAATGTTCAGTACCTTCCTAAAGTGATTAAAATAATTTCAACATTGGAAAGAAAAATCTACATATTCAGGGTACTTTCGGATAGGGCAAAAAGAACAACTCTGATTGACCAGAAATCTGGCATATTTATCTCTAAAAGCTCAATTACCGAAGAACTTTCTTCAAGTGAGTGTTTCTCGTCGCTCAGGTCCCTTTGAAGTTTAGACGTCACAGCTGAAGTTCCTTAATCCACCTGAAACAGTTCGTCAATAAAATCTAACTCACTTCACCACTTTAGTTAACCCTTCCTAAGGATATTGATTTAGTCGGTAATCCAACCTTCAGCGTGCAAACAGGAACAGTCCACAGTTGGAATACAAACCGATGGTAATACGGCTAAGGGGCAAACTGAGGCAATGCACAATACTTCAATATGTTGAGATTTCTCAATACTCAGCGCTATTTTTTCTTGTTCGCATCAAGACGCCTGTTTGTGATAGCTTATCTCAAACTGACGGCTATTCTAGATGTTTCGGGCTGACGAGCAATATGAATGTCTATTCTGTTACACTATTATAAGTCATTATTGGGTATAGAAAGTGACGTTAAAAATTTCTCACCACCCTCAAAAAACTGTCTGAAACATCCAGAAGAATAAAAGTACACCACACTGGTATAAAACGCGTGTAATGTGCATTTTACCCCGAAGTTGTCTCCTCAAGGAGACACCATTTCACGCTAGTAAGTAAATCAGTCGCGACAAACAGACTTGATCAAACCACAATGAAACCAAGTAATCTGAAACTAGCTAAAGGCGTGCCCATATTTTTCAGAGGTGTTCGTCCAACTAGGAGAACAAGGGGCTGGTTTTAATGAATTCCAATGCACCACTTAGTCTTCAGAAAAAAGGGCAAATGTGACTAGTCGGGCTTGGATTTACTCGGTGGAAGTATTGGGGAGATCTTCTGGAAACATCATAGTTGTAGTTGTGGGTGCAAATGTTACAGTTTCTTTGCAGTGTTGGTTATGATATAATGACAGTCGTTAGAGTACTTTCGAAAATTTACCAATATGAAGCATGGAAAAACCTAGTTGCGCGTAAAACTGGAAGAATGCAGTAAGCTAAGGGTGTAGTGCCTAATGGGAATATGTTTTCAGTTAGCTTTGGGACAAGCCGTTTGACTTTCCCCTCTATTCGAAGACATTTTAAAAAACTCTTGATTCCCTAAAGAATTCAGTCAAAAGTTGATCTCCACATTTGTATACCAATTTTTCCCGAGGTGTGCATCTACGCGCCAACCACGAGAATTTTACTGACCACCAAGTTGGTTTGATGTTTGCCGAGCATTTTATGTGCAACCTCAACACCCGTGTGGTTTATGGGTGAAACAGCAGTATTTCAAAGCTAATGACTTAGCAACATGTGCCGCCGTTCCTCTGGACAAATGTTTTTGTTGACGGAAGCATGTATGCATGCTAAATTAGCAAGATTTTCATCAATAAACTTCAGGCCAGCAACCCGTTGCCCTAGTTTTCAACCAGAATACGGGATTCCGTGGAAGTCCGTAGGGTAGTACCTTAGCAGTTATGGTTAATCGGTAAGAAGTATTCAACTGCACTGACCTGTCTTTATTTTAGTGACAAGCAGTTATACCAACCTTGTAACCCGTACAAAAATACCAACCACGCATTCTCAAAAGCAAGGTGGAGGTTTGATAATGAGAAAGCTTTAAAATAAAGCGATTAGAACTGATGAATGTTAGTGGGGCAATAATTACGAGAGACCCTCTAGTCGAACCTTCGATTTCGTTACGTTGAAGTAGAAGAGCTTGATAAAACGAGACCCTGGAGCACTTTGGGGCCAGCTTTTTCCAACTGAAAGTCACGAGTGACGCACACTTCAACAGTTTCGGGGCAGATTCATGTACGCGACTCTTCAGATATACATTTTGGCATAAAAACTCATATTGCGGATCATACATGCCAAGGAAAAATAAAATTTCACTATACCCCCCTTTCACGTTAGTTGGTGCTAACTGGTTCTTCAGGATACGAAATTTCAGAGGAGTGCTGGTATGATTAGTTAGAACTTTCTTGTTCCTGTTTTGTGGGTTGTGGCGAAATAAATCATTGTCAGTTGTGCACATCGTTCTAAAAGGCAGCGAAAACGCAAGCTGCACTGTACAGCCATCATGTCAGGATCATATCATTGTCACCACTGTCATCATCATCGTTATCACCACCACCACCACCATCATCATCATCATCATCATCATCATCATCACTGTGATCTTCATTGTCATCGGCATCAGGATCGTCGAAGGCAATACATCAGCACTAACCAGGGGCAATTAACTGCCATAACATACTTATGCAGGATATCAGTAGTTCCCATGTTTCGTGCTTGCATGAGGACTTTTGCCAAAATGATGCCCATTGGACCGGATGTAACGAAAGTGAAATAGGATTGTTGAAATAAAATTCACGTTTTCACTTGTCCTGCATGGCAAAATCCATGGATAGAAGTTTGGAATCTCCATACCATTTACAAATTCAAGTGTTTACATTAGTCTCAAGGTGTACTGCAACGTCAACTTTATGAGATGAAGTATAACAGGAGCTTAAACGGATTATTCTCCTACCGGACAGGTTTCAGTATTCTTTGTCTTATACTTAGTGGGAGAAGCTAAGAACTGCCGAAAAGTCTGCTCAAGCCTAGACAGGAGAGATCATGTTTCCGATGTTGAGTTCGAGCCGGGGACCTTTCGACCAGTAGGTTCGTGCCTTAACCCCTGAGCTAACTCAACAGAGATAAAGGTCAAAAGGTCTGCCTTCACAGGATGGTCGGTCTTTTTAGGCTCAGAAGACACGACTTTCGGCCAAGTATACGCCACAATTTTAGAAGTAAACGCCACGAAATGACTGGACTTCCGGCTGAATTCCTAGACTTGACTATTTCTGCTGGATCAGGTAAACAACGAATTTGTTAGCCCTGAAACCACTTCAAATAAATAAAGATGCTAATAAGTATATCAATTAATTCTGCTTTTTGAGATTTAGAAGTAATTTACACTTTGCTGTTCACGGTCAGGAAGCACTGAAACATTTAAAGTAGATCAATTCTGTTAGTGCGAATAGTATTACCTTTACCAAGGTGTCCAAAAATTGGAGTATTATTTCAAGAAACTAACCCTTGTTCAGTCATATGGTTAGTGCTGACTAAAAGTGTCCACAGAGGACTTCCATTCAACCTCATATTTATACAGCATCTGTCACCGAAGACAGCTTGAGAGAGGTGATCGAAACTGTCTCCCGATTGCGACATGAATGTTCTCCATGGAGGCCTAACGGGATTTGTATTTCTATGCTTTTGAAAGAGTCGCATATACGTGATTGACTATGGTTATTTTCGCCAGTTATTCATCTAAGGAAAATAGATGTTTATGGACCACCAGCTCTTGTCATCCATGCCGATAAAAATAAATAATCCTGCCCTTAGCTCAATATACTCATTTGTTTCGACCGGTTTACCAATTCTGTACTTATCAAATCAAATACTCTCAGGGATACAAAATAACCATAATTTCTGGGCATCCGATGCTTTATTTTACTCGGTCATATCTTGCAGACAAGTTTTTTTATCGTCACTGGCTTCAATCTCGGCAGCTGAAGAATTGGCCTCAGCAACTGTGTACAACTGAGTACCGTATGTACTAAGCAATGATGAATCACCAAACACATCAAGTTAGACAAAGAAGTGCCTGTTGGTGTTGCATGATTTTGCACTGGCATTGATCGTGCCATCACACACCCCACCTAGCAGTTGATAAGTAGGCAAGGGTTAAAGGGAACTACTGATACTGTTTTGGTGTGAACCCTGAGTTCAGGTAAGTTTACCTTATCTCAGGAGTAAAATGCAATGATAAAATTATAGGCTGCAGACACGTTCACTGAGAAGGAATATTTCTTCGTTTTAGGAGTGTCCCCGAGAACTACCTTCCACATCGAAAAGAGACTTCCACTTTAGTAATAATTTCCTAGTGAAAAGCTTACTTGATAATCGTTTGTCACAAAATAGCACAATTATCTGTCCAAAAGCTTGAAGAACCCAACGAAGTACACAGGGGTACAGTAGAAGACAGCCGCTTTACTTCCTCCCATAGATTGAAGGAATTTCTTTGAGGATAATGTGTAGGATACCAGTTCAGTTTACCAGCTCATGGAAGAAAAATGCGCAAGAATTGTGAGAGCTTCCAACATTGTTCTGTAGTTTGTCTCAAAGTATAAACATGGGGCACTTCACACTGAATACAACTAACTTTAAATAATTTCCGTTTACCCTTTTCCGAAGTAAACTGGTCGAGTTATTCAGTGGACTATACAGTGCCTACCAAAGTCCAACTTTATAATTAATGTAGTAATGTGATGTTTTGTCAACGAAATACACTCTGGCATCTCGGGTATCGAGCCCCCTGAAAAAATGATCCTTCATGCAGCAGATTCAGTCGATGCCTACCACAGACATCCGGGGATTCAGTTGGGTCTGCTGTCATTGTCAACTTACTCCGCAAATGAGCTTATGTTGCCACTTATTTAAATCAGCAAAGACCAGGCTTCCGAGACCATCGTGAGAGGGTAGGATTAGGCGCACTCATTCTTGTCCGTAATTAATGGTATGTTATCCCGCACTTTGTAATGAGCACAAACTGTCACAGCGCAACTTGATGCTCAACAAGGTCAGCCGTTTTGAGCTGTCCTCAGTGAGTCACAATCTTCTAGTAAATAAACAATGTTTTCCACTCGCTGTCAAGACTTTCAGGGGGACAGACCGCAGGAGGGTAACGCAAATTAAATTGACCACAATCAGACGAATGGAAGCGGTTTCCTTGTGCCTTTCTGGCTGGAGCCCACAGGATTCTCCATGTACATGAGTGGAAATCTTGCAAAACAGTAACTGACCAAACTAATTGGCGACCATGCAGTCAAGCCTTAGCCAAAAGAAAAGCTAATGCCTGTCCATCGTTTTGAGCTGAGCCCCCGTTAGGCAAACTTTCCGTGCGATACTCCACCAATTTCACTGAACATAGTTTCCACCGAGATTTTTGAGGAGTGCTCATTTTGATGCTATTGGAGGGAACGGGCCCTTTGATCTTGATGGTTCAAACTAAGGACGAAAAGCGTTTGAACTAAGTTTCTATCCTTTCTTTTCTTTCTTCACATCCTTTAGTGAGACATCCTTAGTGGCTGTCAGTCATCATTCTACCTGCACACAAGTAGCGCACATATATTCTACAAATACCTAGTGTAACAGCACCACTGTGGGTACTGTACCAAGATACAATATCGCTGTCGTCATCGACAGCATACCATTGGTGTTCAACACTGATACTTCACTGGCGTAACGACAGTGGTGGTATGACAGCATTGTTAGTTGTAGGAATCATGGTTGTACGCGGGCTGGGATACTTTTAAGGCTCCCAGACCTAAACAGGAGGGTCCTCAATCAAAGTATCTAGCTCAAGAGCATGACCTCGAGGTAGTGGTATTTGGCAAGATAATGCAAGTGCATCTTTTGGAGAATAATGCTCCGCGTATATTCCAAACTCCAATCTGGACGTTCGGGAGACTGTGTTGGCCAAACCTTCAAACACTGACAGATATGGTGTGGAAGAGAGTGCGGGTGCCGCACAGAAATCCCACTGTACCTCACTGGGTCACGGAGGCACATAACACATACACTACGGTAATGTACTGTTTCTTCGTGACAGTGGGGCATGATTATTAATTTTTGAAACAATGAGTAAAAAGGGTACCACTTAGAAGGAGATCAAACTTCAGCGGTAAGGGTAGAACTTTGGATCTTAATTCAGAATTTTCATCCAGTTTAACACGGGATTAAGCTGTTTGGATATGCCCTAAACTTTCGCCGTAAAAATCCGTCATCCGATCCTTGAAATTTGTTGTCTTCGCCATAATTTCATGACTTTTGGGGAAAAATTGTGAGGCGAAAGAAACTCATAAAGTTTCTAGGAAGATGGTAGTGGATTGTAGAATGCTCACATAAACCTAACAGGAGATGCTTTTTGTGAACTCTTCTGCGGACTCGTCTTCTTTTGGTTGCTATTTGTTCAAAACCCTGCCGATATTATATACGCATCTTTTTGTTTAAATAATGCTTCTTGGATTACCGGGGCATGACTTCTTGGCTACCCAGACTACTTTCCTGGGTTCACGCACATTACACCACACCATACAAGCGGCATTCACGATCGGTGGCCGATCACACCGACTGGACACAGTAGGCAAACTTATTCTTGTTCCCCACTTTGTGAGGGATGGTTTACAACCAACTTTCACAATACAACACCAACAGTGGGGTGACAGCACTGAAGTACAAATGAAAGCGGAGTACTAGGATTTGTGACACAGATTTGTGAACAACCAAGACGCTTCTTAAGTGGCAATCATTCGCATCAGTGACGGCAACGCAAGGCCAATTTGACCATATGTCTGTGTGGCCTGTGTTTAACTTTGGCAAGTTACATGCTTCAGTAACATACGCAGAGTGTGGAGAATTCGTCCATGAGTGAAATACGCTCAAGGCCTTCTCGTTTAGCCCAACCCGACAGGTGGTAAGACAAGATTTGTGAAGTCTCTTTCAAAAGAGCGATGACACTTGATTATGCTAGGAAGGTGAAAGGGGGCTAGAACCAACAGACCTCAAGTTTGGGAAACTTTCCCCCCTGTCCTACTCGATTCTTGTATAGTGAGACGATTCTAACGACCCATTAAATCTTGTCAGATTAATCGCTGAAGGTAAAATGCTAGAAGCGGAATCCATGACAAAACAGTGGAAAAAATATCGCACATAGGAAGTGAAACCAAGAATACAGTGTAGTGCATTTGCTTTCAACTAGTTGATGAATGTACAATAGAACGAGTATTCTATATCCCAAGATAGTGAAGACAATGAAGTATAGGTCTAAGGTTCACCTAATTTGAATTTCGTTGCGTTTCACCTTGTGTTTGAAGCACGTGACTCACGTTGTGCTTTTTATTATTGTCTTACCGGCCAGTTTTCTGGCCTTTCCATGATCCTGCCACAGGATAGCATACTTATCGAGCTTTATGCACACATAGCTTAGATAATTTCATTTTTAGGCACCATATCCTTGGCGTTGACTGTATTTCTAGATTATAAAAACCTCGCTTCTCGGATAATGAGATTTAAACTCACTTAGTACTATGAAAAGGGTGACTGGATGTCCTAAATGAAACTATTTGTAACATAAAGAGGTTGTACACTGAATGACTTCAAAGATGCTGTTTTTCTGCCAGGCCCTGAAAAGACTGAGTGGATGAAGAAGGGTTAGGAAGCACTGAAATAGGTATAAAGAGAACTATTGCATGGTTAACTCCTGCTAAAGACATCACAGGATAAACACACACGATAATGATCACACAAGTAGGTGACAACGAAAGGAAGGTAATAAGAAAATTACATGAACTCTGGAAGAGGTAACGACTGTCAATCATACTCAGCAGAAAGGTCCCTCAAACTATGGAGGATCCCATTGCAAGTGCTAGGCAACATCGCTGCCCGGAAAACAGCCGGCGCGCATTTTGACAGTGCTGTGGCATTCTATTCTAAAACAAACTAGGGCAGAACTATCAGACCCTAGAGTTGTATTGAGGTTAATTCTGAACCTCACGCAACAAATGAACTTATTCAATCGTAAACAGTCGCGATGCGCTCTGCAGTTGTTTAACAATAGCAATACGCAACAGCTTCTCAAGAACTTATTTATGAACTCGAATCCGCAACCTTTAAGTTTGTAAATGACGAAAATTGGGTGTGGTTTCTATGAAGCGCGGGATTTCGTGAAGGAACGGACTCCAACAAAAAGATTACGGAAGATAAACTCTTAGGAGAGAAAAAACTAAGTGTTGCCATATTGCGCACATACTTTTCGGCTTGTTTGTATTCCGTGAAGGAAATTGGACGAAAAAGTAACTTACGTGCATCAAGTTTTGTTTTCGCCAGATAATTTATTCCGCCACAGCCGGTATAAAGAGCACACAGTAAAAGAGCACTCAAACGCACATATTTCGCGTCTCCTCATCTGTACCAGCCACACAAACTATGGAAAAACTGGATAAAGTTGCAAAAACTGGATGAATAAAGTTCCGATAAAAATATAAAAATAAAAAATTCCGATAAACCGTTGGGCCAGTAAAAATGGCCACCGTTGCGTTCCCGAATCCAAGACAATTTATAGATTGAAGAAGGTTGCTTTTGAGAACAGAACAGGTCTGCGTGATTAATTATAGCATTACTAGCACACCCCTGGTATGTGGGTTTCAAAAGATGCCTTCGTTACTTTTGGTGTTGAAACGCCGTTTAGTTCTGTGCTAGACATGCTCCATATCCACATATGGTTTGATATACACTGTGATGTTGATTCGAGCGTGCTGTCTACACTAGCCGATGTTGGTAATGGTCACTTCCGTCTGCAGCTGTGAGGGTGTATTTCATAGGAACTCCATTGGCAGTGCTAGACGCCAAGTCACCCTAAAAGCAGGACCTAGAAAGGTAAATTTTGACCACAGCGTTGGACCGATTAAGTGTAACCCTGCCTTTAACGTGTCACCACATGTAACACACGAATTAACCGTCTCTTTTCAAGAACGTTACCGTTGATTCCAATCCTTCGGAGCCAATATGGTACGCAAATGTGACGCGCTGTTGTAAGTGTGCCTTTTGTACCTCAGCGGATTGAAACCTTTTCATACGTTGTCCTGATCACATGTTTTTTGTGAACAGCTCACTCGGCGGACAGATTACAGTAGACCAGACTGATAGACAGCGACTGAGTCAGTCTCATTGGAACATTCAAATATGTGCATTCAGTAGTGCTTAACAAAAAGCGACGAATGCTTACAGAAGCCAACGTAGACAAACTAGACTCTTTAGTCACCTCCTCTTGGCGGGGGTTTATCTATAGACATCTTTTAGTACATCCCAAAGGACTTATAACTCACTAGCCTGAGAGCTCATTGCAGTCGTTCACCAATTACTGCATGGTCACGAATGAAAAGATCTAGGGCATTTATTCACAGCCATGAACCGCGAGAAAAGCATCATTTAAGTTGTTTTAAATTCGCTGATGGCCTTAGGTCATAGGTCTGGTTACTTTGAAGTGTATTTTTCACTCAACCCTACACTTCATGAAACTTCGAGAAAAATGTAAACTGACTAGCAAAATCACCAAATACCAGCATCATTTTGGGGATGATCGATTGCCGAATTGTAAACTGCGGAAAGCGACAAAAGTTTATCGTTTTTCTTGGTTCCTTCTTGGTTCCTTCTTCTTTCTCTTGAGGCATCTAATGTAACGGTTTAGGGCTCTACCTGCGTCAAATCAAGCTAAACGTATCTGTCGACATCGGTCACCTAGATCGAGATAACAAATACATCCCCAAGACTTTAACCTAACTAAGACACATCGACCTTGATTATTGCACATTCAGGAGCCTGAGATCTCGCGTAATGTTCAGTACTCTGTAACCATGTGAGAAGGAAGATAACCTGTTGGTCCACTGCCTCCTTATTCAGCTGGCACCTTGAATTTGCTGTTGATGCCTATAATGCAATTTAGGAAGGTTTAACAGAAGTAACATTACTAGAATGGGAACTTAGGTATACTTGAATAAACAGTGGAAGTACAGAGATTGTGGCACAATTACAGACATCAGCTTTTCGATAGAGAGCACAGTGGGAGAGACTGTTCGATTGGAAATCGCTTTATGATAATCGAAAATGGCAGCACATTAGTTTCTAGACCTTAGACCATTGAATGCATTCCAAAACCCAACCAATTCACCTGATGAAAATACGACAACTGGGATTTCGTCCTGTAGGTGAGACTAACTTATGCTGGAAGGTTGAGAAGCACCATACAACTGTTTCATCCTACCAGGAATCACCGGCAGTGTGCATCCTGCGAAACCCCTATAGAGTTTCGAACTACCAATTCCTCGGATGACAGTTTAGGCACTTAACTGTTCGGCTACGAGTGGAATTGTACCCATCTGCTATGTTTCTGCTCGCTGACAGTTTCAGAAGTGATTTGACAAATAAGCTGACCTCACCTATTCCCCTTTGCAAGTGACAAAATTAAAAGGCAGAATCTGCTGTTTTACGGCATGGAGAAGATTAATGGTCCTGTCGATTAGCCTACATTCCGACAGGAAATAATGCACTTTCCAACAGTCACACTACTCCTTTTGCCCTATTAGGTGCTTGCCAAGAGCCCTACATTGGTCCATTAAAGATGAAACGGGCGTCAGATACTCTGCACCTCTTAGGTGTATATTGACAAGTTACATGGAAACTCTTATTTAGAGCACAGTTTCTTGAGCAATTCCATCATTTGTTTGGTCTAGAAAGACAACTAAGGACCCTTGTTCGGCTGTACCTTCACTTCATGTAGTTAACTCGGTTTTATTTTTAGCTTGCTACTAACCAAAAGGGAATCAGTCGAAAACTGACATTCGACAGAGAGAGGCCTGGGCTTAATACACAGGGGATTGAAAGCTATCTATGGCGATGAAAGTCCAGGCCACCTACAGTCTGGGGTATTTTTTTAAACAGCAAATAAACCGGCTCAAACCAGTTTGTTTGTAGCAGCTGGACCCGTGGAGAATGCTACTTGTGTTCCGACCTTTGGTTTGGCAATTCTAACGAAAGAGGTTAGGAACTGTTTTATCATATATTTTGCTCGGAAGAATGTATTCAAACAAATTATGCATGGTGAACCGTTTTCATGGGTTCTTGAACAATGAAGTGGATAATTCGAATATCTTTGGTGTAGATAAAAATCACCACCTGGTTACTTCCGTCATTATGGATTATGAAACATACGCTGTGCTGAACTCACACGATCGAATTCCAACGGTGACCATACCAACTCAACTCAGTTGCCAGGGTGTCGGTTGTTTAAGCGTTTATAGTAACCCGAGGCATGCTGGAGAGGTACGAAGAGACGACGAGCAACAACTGGTCGCGTTTGAGTGGTCGAATATTCAGCGTTTCTGGATGAGTGAGCAATCTGTTCCAATAAATCAGATGAGGAGGGTGCGTTTCAATTTTATTAGGTTTGCCTTGAGGAGTGTCAGTGGACCAGTGGACATATGTTTCTACTTGATTCCTAGTGTTCGAAACTTGAGATACGGAGCTGCTTAATTCAAAAATCCCCTAAAAATAGTTAAAGTTAAATCATAGTCATCTTTGAGAGACTACAAGGGGAGTATAGGTTTATTGCACCATCAAATGATCATACCAACCGGAGTCTCTCTATCATATCTAAGCAAACATCCGAATA